GGAACACCAAGGCACGATTGATCTCTTGCAGTGGAACACAAGAAGACGAAGGAACACCAAGGCACGATTGATCTCTTGCAGTGGAACACAAGAAGACGAAGGAACACCAAGACACGATTGCAAGCAGCACCCCGCACAAGCACCACTCGCTCGCTCCGCCCCCCAGAGTCCAAGGCACAATCCGCTACTGGCATCAGCAGTCATCGTCGCACCCACCATCCATACCCCGCTCCCCCACGCACGCATCCCTCCTCCCCCATTCTCGCCACCCCCCACTGCCTCCCGCAACCCCCCTCGCTCTCCTCTCCACCCCCCTTTCCCGCAAACCCCCCCACTCCCCGTTCTCCCCCTCCCCTCCATGGCCGCACTGTGGTCGACGAACAGCTTCGCGTGCTCCACGTCGTTGCGCGAGATGACGTCAGCCAGCAGCGCGCGGTACGCCTCCACCTTCGCCTTTGGCTCCGCCACCGCCACCACCGCGCGCAGCGCCGCGCCCATGTCGCCCATCGCCGCCCTCCACTCCCGCGCCCCTGCTCGCTCCTGTGCTCCCCCGCGCTACTGTTAGCCCCTGATCGATCCTATGTCCGCCTTCTCCGCTTGCTGCCCCCGGATCCGACTATGCCCCGCCTGCCTTCCTCTTGACTCGCTGATCACCACCTTCTCTCGACCGTCTTCCCGCGACAAGTTCTCTCGCCCTTTTCCTTCTCTCCTCTCTCGTGCGCTGGTATGAAATGTTTAATTTACTAGATACTTTATTTTATAATATTTCGACATGTCGATGTAGTATAATGGTCAGTTTCTCCCTGTCACGCGGAAGATCCGGGTTCGATTCCCGGCATCGGCGAATCGGAATGTTTTATCTTGTCATACACTCAACCGAGCTTGGTAAACTAGGCGAGTTTGGACAGCGCGACAAATCACTCAACGATGAGGGGTCTTTCATCGCAAAGAATTTGTACCATCAGCCCCTGGATAGTAACGCCCCTGGGGGTATAAAAAAACACTGTTTTTTAGGGGGTGCGCTTATAATCGAGGAAATTTACAAGCGCCGGCGTTTATAAAATGGCAAAAATGAAATGTATTGTTTTAACATGAAATTGAAGCTTTTTCAAAAGGGGATTCAATCCACATCTAGAACGTTCGTAACCGTGCATGAAAAGCGCGTCAAATGGCCAGCAAGGCGTGGAATCACGCCCATGACGCCTTGCTGGCCTGGCCAGATTCATCGAACATGAATCTGGCCCATGCCAGCGCACACGTGGTTTAGGGTGCGACTGCCCAATCAGGGTCGCATGCCGTGCCAGGTACGACTCTGTACAACCACGCAATTGGCAGAAGCGGCAAGATTCCACTCCACCGAGGCATTGACCTCACCACCTCAGCTCCTTTGCGGGGGGATCTTGACAGTTTTCCCCCTTTCCCTGCAGAGGAACCCAGGCCGCGAAGTTGGAGGGGTCTCGGGCGAGGGTTTCAAACGAGGCTCATTCTCGTCGTTTTTTTTCAGTTTTCTTGTTTTCCCTCGGCCTGCCTAGGCCATGGCGGGCCTTCCAGGCACTCACTTCCTCTTTAGCCGCTGACCTGCTGTTGGCAACACTCGCGATTACTCTCAGTGGCAGAGTCGCCCAGCGCCTCCTGCTCCTCCAGCGCCTCCTGCTCCTCCCGCTCCGCCTATCGTCGTCATCAACGGTCAGCCCGTTCTGCAGCTCCTCCCTCGCGGTTACTCAGCTTTCGACGCGTACATCTCCGAGCCCGAGCGCAGCGGCGACAATGAACCCGGCCCCGGTCTGTCGCCACGCTGGGGAGACGCGGAAGACTGCCCGTACGACGAATCCGCCACTAGTGCTGAAGACGATGTTGAATGGTGGGCGGCCGACGAATTCCCGAGGACCTGTCTGTCCATAGTTTCCCCCCGCCGAATAAGAAACGGCCCCACCCCCCCAAACAGAATCGTGATGCCCGCCCTTCGTCCCCCAGGAGCAAGCCTTCAACGCACAAGCGCAACTCCTACACTTCCCAGGAGAAGCTGCAGTGGATTGCAAAGTTGGAGTCCGGAGCTGTGAGTGTGCGGAGAATGTCCCACGACACTGGTATCTCCCGAAAGTCCCTGTCAGAGTGGAAGTCGCGGAAGGGTGAGCTGGAAGGCTCGCAAGCGCCTTCACGGGCGTGGTCGGGCGTCGTGGTACCGCGACATGGAGATCGAGGTGTACTCACGTGTTCTTGCCCACCGGAAAAAGTGTCTCGCCGTGTCTGTCGGCCGACTGCAGAAGTGGTCACACGAGGTGATGAAGATCCTGCTACCTGATGTAAAGTGGGCTGGATCTCAGAGGTGGACTGAGCGTTTTCGACGGCGTTGGAACCTCACTACCCGAGCAAAGACCAGAATCGGCCAGAAGTTGTCGTCTGGTGAGTCGGTGTTTGTGCTGTCGCTATAGTTTATGGCTGCTTACGACCTTCGAAAATCTAATTTTCTTTTGTTTGTCTCTCCCACCCTTCCCTTGCAGAGTGTGAGACACAGGTGCAGAATTTCTGGAAGTTCGTGCGACACTCCCGCCGTCAGTACGGTATCGACAACCGCTGGATTATTAATGCCGATCAAACGCCACTCTGGCTCGAGATGCCAGCTGAACGCACGGTCGAGGAGGTGGGGATCCTCTCCGTGCCCATCCGCAGCGGCGGCTATAAAAAAGAACGCGTGACGGTGATGCTCGCCTGCACCGCCAACGGCGAGAAGCTCAAGCCTTGGGTCTTCTTTAAGCGCAAGACAATTCCTAAGGGGAATTTCCCCTCCGGTAAGCCGAGCAGCTTGTGCAGTGACGGTGTCATTTGCATGTGATATTTTTTTTTATGTCTGATGCTAATCTGTCCGTACGCCTTGTTCGGATGTGCAGATGTTGTGGTCGCCGCACATCCCAACGGTTGGATGGACGCTAACGGCGTCCTCGCATGGCTCGACGGGACGGTGAACCCGTATGTCAACCCCAGGTTCGGAGTACGCAGCAGGAAAGTGATGTTGGTTCTTGACTCCTACCGCGGGCACCTCACTGATGCTGTGAAGGCGAAATTCGGGGAGCTGAACATCGTCCCCGCCGTCATACCAGCTGGCTGTACCTCTGAGATCCAGCCTCTTGACGCCGCGGTGAACCGCTCATTCAAAGCAGCAGTCCGCCAACTGTACCAGGACTGGTTCGAGAGCGAGGGGGTCGACTGCCTGACCGAAAGAGGTGAGCACAATCCCTACGTGTACGATGTGTCCGCTCTTGACTGTTTCCACCCTGTTCTGATTGCTGTAGTGTTTCCATGTGTGGCAGGCAACATCCGCAAGCCACCTCCAGAGCTGACGCTCAAGTGGATCTCCAAGGCCTGGAAGGCTGTGCCCAAGGAGTTGATTCAGTGCTCGTTTCTCACCTGTGCCATCAGCAACGCCCTGGATGGGTCCCAGGACAATCTCTGCATGCAGCACCGGCGGGACGCCGTCAAGGGTGAAGTAGAACTTGACGACGAGATTGCAGCAGATGGATTCTGCTGCAACAACGTAGAGGAGCCAGAGTCGGACGGGGAGGCCGACCAAGATGGCTCCGCCAGTTGATGGTGATGCATAGGATGCTATGAAGAAAAGAATGCATAGGATGCTAGAGAAGGTCAGTGAATGTTGCGCTAAACTATCAGTAGGATTTAGTATCGTAGTAGAATTGGAAAAATATTACCGTATTCTCTTGGACATAGCACCCTAGGCTATAGCTAAAAATACAGGGAAAAAATGGGGGGGGTCTCCTCATAGGAAAAACATACATAATACTCGGGTCTTTACATATGGTATATTTTAGTGTTGGTGTTTATTTAATTAGACAATGTGGGTGTTTTGATTTTCATTTTAACATCACTGACTGAGGCGCGAATGTGGGTTTCGGCCACGAGCTTCATCACCCCCACGAAAATGCCATGTGGCACCTCTCTTGCCACTTGCAGCGGAAGATTCGCCTGCACGTGGTCACAGCGAAGTAGTGCGAGGGGGGAAATCTCGGTAGATTGTAAGTGAATGTACCGCGAAATTTCATCTAGGGAGAAATTTTCGCGATATTCTTCAATATTGCAGCTACTCGTTAACGACTATTATAACGAATTCGTAAGAAAAGGGGGGTGTTATAGAAAATCAGCAAAAAATGGGGGTATAGTAGAAACGAGGTCTATCATAACAACCACCCCGCACAAGCTACCCGGGGGTATACAATTACGGGGGGGTGTTTTGTCCGGGAGAATACGGTATGTTGTAGTGAAAATAGCTTGTAAAAGATAGGATAAAAATAGTCGAAATAAAAAAGGGAGGCGCTTATAATGTGTCATAATACAGGGGTGCGCTTATAATCCGTAAGCCTCCAGGGGTGCGCTTATAATCGAGGACTGGATATAAGCGCCATCACCCTTTTACAACCGCCGGCGCTTATCCGAGGCCTGCGCTTCTATCCGGGGGCTTACGGTACACCGTGTATTCTCTTCTATCAGTCACAAACATCAACACTATTGTTTGTTTACAGAAACAGGTGATTCTCCAGGTGAAAATACACAGAAAAGGAGTGTAACAAATCTGTGGTGTACAAGGGGGTCAGGATGGGGCGCCATCATACTTTATTGCACTATGTTACACATCACACAACATTACAACATCACTGCATGGCCATGCCCCGAAAGGACTGATTACACCAACGAGACTACCATGCTAGCGAATGTGGGTGCAGATGGGGAGGGAAGGGAATGCGGTGGGAATGTGTTGGGAGACGTCCATGATACAACAGCTACGGGTGCCTCTCAAAGCCCAAGTTTTGCGCCCATTTAGGCATCTTCCTGAGAGATTACCATGAACCATGTCCCTTGGTTCATGGGAGGCAGTTGGTGGGCAAGCCTGGCAACTGAGACTGCTGCTGCTTCATCCTCCACCCACACTGTCTGTCACCCACACAGTGGCCCAGTCGCCCAACCTGCCAGCTAGCCGGCCACCCAGGCGGTCAGCCGTCAGGCAGTTTGGTTTTGAAGAGCACACAGCGCTTGTCCTCGGGGAAGTAGGAGTTGCCGTCGCCGGGGTTCATGTTGACCGTCATGCCAAACACGTCCATCTCCGCTGCCGTCACCCGCAGCTTCACATACGCGTTGCGCAGCGCGAACAGGTTCTCGATTCGGTTGAACGTGCGCTGCTGCACGTCCTGTTGGAGGCATGGGGAGAGCATGAAATGGGGAGAGCATGAAATGGGGAGAGCATGAAATGGGGAGAGAATCAAGGGATGAGCACAGCACAGAGAGAAGAGGTGAGAAAAGGAGGAGGAGGTGGTGCGAGGAGGAATGGGCTCTCCATGTGGCTGCATGTGCACTGCTGCACCATGCTCCATGCTCCATGCTCCATGCACCATGCTCCATGCACCATGCTCCATGCACCATGCTCCAAGCTCCATGCACCATGCACCATGCACCATGCACCACCACACACCATGCACAACCAAACACCATATACCACACACATCAACCCCCACTCCCCCCCTCAGTTGACGCACCGTGCCGGTGATGTACAGCTGGTTGCCAATGTCCTGTGTCACAGCACCATCGTTCATAGCCATGGCTGCCGTTGCCGTCAGCCCCGAGCCACCACCACCCCCCAGACCCGCCCCGGCACCCTGGCCCTCGGCACACAGGATCTGCGCCTCGCCCGAGTTGCCCGCCAGCACCTGGATGTCGCTGCCCATTATACTCGTTTTAAGCTCACTCGTTGACAGCACAGCGTCGCCCTGGCGCGGCTGGATGGAGAAGGTGGGGACCTGCCCCTCGTGGCCCGCAAAGAAGAAGGCACAGTCCGTGGGGGACGGCTGGCATCCCGCTAGGGGGGGCTCATTCGGAGAGGCCGGCGGAGGGGGAGGATTGGCTGGGGGAGGGTTGTTGGGCGGAGGGGGGGGGTTCAGGGGAGGGTTGTTGGGAGGAGGGGGGGGGTTCGGGGGAGGGTTGTTGGGAGGAGGGGGGCTTGGGGGCGGGGGTGGTGGTGGAGGGGGGGGGCTTGGGGGAGGCAGGGAGGGGGGGGAAAGGGAGGGCGGGGCGATGGAGGGGGGAGCAGCAGTGGGGGCGGGGGGAGCAGCAGTGGGGCCGGGGCTAGAGTCGAAGATGGAGGGGGGGAAGCCCTGTGAGGGACTGGTGGAGCCGCTTGGGGGGGTGGTGGAGGAGGAGTTGAGAGATGGCTGCGGCTGGCCGGCGGGCCCTGGGGAGGAGGGAGGAAGGGAGGAGGACGAGGAGGAGGTGTTGGTGGTGCTGTCAGTGGTGTTGCGGATAATGGCAAGCCCTGTGGTGCCTGTGGTGGTGGGGGGAGAGGGGATGGGAAGAGGAGGAATAGGGAGGAGGGAATATAAGTGGATGGGGAAGTACAAGAGAGGGAGGCAGTAGGATGTGGGAGGCAGTGATGCACAGCAGCGAAGCATGGTTGAGCAGGGCAGCGAGCAATGCTTACAGTTGGCAGCAATCGAGACAAGCCTTGATGAAGGATTACCCAGCGATCACGAGAGCAGTGATCTTGGTGCTCACAGTTAGCGTCGATCCATGAGAGTTTATCCTTGGGTGTGTCAACCACAAGGCACATGTCTCTCACCCATGCATCGCCTATCACAGCCCGCTCTGCCTGACTTACAGTTAGCATCGATCCAGGAGAGTGTATCTTTGTGAGTGTCAATGACGAGGTACTTGTCTCTCATCCACGGGTCACCAATCACTGCCCGCTCCGCCTGACTGCTCGCCATGCGCACTGTGAAGCACACCACGTGTGGGCTGCTCGCCACCTGGCGAGGGCACGAGAGGGAAAATATTGCAAGAGAGACATAACACGAGAGGGCACGAGAGGGGGGAGTGGTTGCGAGTTTGAAGCGGGGGCAAGCGGTGCATGGGGAGGAGAAGGAGATGCAGTGGTGAACGTTGCAACATGACACGAGGGGCCACGGTTGAGATATCAGGAGGCGGGCTGGGGCCGTATTTGTCACTGCGCGTTGCAGCACATGTGCTCCCCAGCCGTCTGTCTCAATTAGTGAGGAGGAGGGCTCAGGGCGGAAAGAGATGAGCGAGGAACAAGAGTGCAGTGCGGTGCGCTGTGGTGCAGAGTGATCTGACAGCTCAAGTGAGGCGTGGTATGAGCACGAGCGAGTGAAGCAACAGCAGCTTGCGGCTTGCAAGCGCCCCTTACGCCCCGTGCACGGCTTGCAAGCGCCCCTTACTCCCCGTGCACGGCGACAGCACAGTAGCAAGGGAGAAGGGCGGGCGACGGCTACGTACATGGAAATTTCAAAGTCAGCTCAAAAGTCACCACCTCTAGGTACACACGTGAGTTTAAATGGCGGTAGAAAGTCACCATCTTTGGGCAGGGCACGTACAATCTTGAGGTAGTTGGTGGGCGCGATGGTGAAATCAGCGCTGCCCTTGCCGCCTGCCAGCACGAGCGTGAGCGGTGGAAACTGCTGTAGGAACTCCGCGGGGGTCATGGATGCCCTATGAGGGGGAAGGGCGGAAGGGTGGGGGTGCGGCATGGCGGGCACAATTGGGAAAGGTGACGGTGAAGTCAGCGTTGCCCTTGCTGCCCGCCAGCACGAGTGTGATGAGGGGGAACTGCTGTACGAACTCCAAGGGGGGGTTATGGATGCCCGTAAGGGAGGGGTTGAGGGAGGGCAGGTTGAGAGGTGGGGGGCAAGGAGGGGGTGGTGGGTGAGAGAGATTGTGTAGCGAGTGAAAGAGATTGTGTGGTGGGTGAGAGAGATTGTGTGGCGAGTGAGAGAGATTGTGTGGCGAGTGAGAGAGATTGTGTGGCGAGTGAGAGAGATTGTGTGGCGAGTGAGAGAGATTGTGTGGCGAGTGAGAGAGATTGTGTGGCGAGTGAGAGAGATTGTGTGGCGAGTGAGAGAGATTGTGTGGCGAGTGAGAGAGATTGTGTGGCGAGTGAGAGAGATTGTGTGGCGAGTGAGAGAGATTGTGTGGCGAGTGAGAGAGATTGTGTGGCGAGTGAGAGAGATTGTGTGGCGAGTGAGAGAGATTGTGTGGCGAGTGAGAGAGATTGTGTGGCGAGTGAGAGAGATTGTGTGGCGAGTGAGAGAGTGGCTGGAGTGGTAGAATGAAGCAGGAGATGGTAGGGAGGGGATGAGATTGGAGCACTGGTAGTGCGTTGAGGGAGGAGCACCACGGGGACAAGGCGTGAAAGGGGACATACCAGAACAAGACAAGCGCTCTTGCTTTTCCACCAATGGAGGCTGCCCCTGCCGAGTGCTTCGTTTCTCTCTCACCCCCCCAGTCCCTATTTTCTATGCTGCATGCTCCCCCTCCCACCCTCTCCCCCCTGCCCTTGCTCACCCGCACACTGCGGCACTCACTGGTGGTAGTCGTTGGCGTCAAGGCAGTCCAGCCCCTCCTGTGCGCTCTCTGACGACGCAAACTTCATGAGTGGGTACTGCACCAGGAACTGGTGGGGGGGGGAAGGATGGGGAGGAGAGATGCAGCGCAGAGATGCAGAGAGAAGGGAATGAGAAAACGAAAGCCCCTGTGCGCTCACAGACGAGGCAAACTTCATGAGCGGGTACTTCAGCAGGAACTGATGTGAGGGGGAGGGAAAGGAGAGGTGCAGAGGGGAATGTGAGCGAGTGAAATCCCGTCCTGTGCGCGCATAGGTGACGCCAATTTCATGTGCGGGTACTGCACGAGGAACTGGTGGGGGGGAATGGGGGCGGGTAGGGGGGAGAGAAAGAGCATGAGCTAGTGTGAGGCCCTCCTGTGCGCTCCCAGACAACACACACGTCATGCGCGAGTGCTGCACGATGGACTGGGTGGGGGGGAAGGAGAGGAGAGGATTCACACACACACACACACACGCACATGCGCAGAGGGCAGAGTGGAGCAAGTGCGAGAGTGAGAGAGTGCGAGCCCCTCCTGTGCGCTCACAGACGATACACACACCATGCGTGGGGGGACGTGACAGAGAGGGGGAGCTGGGAAACGAACATGGGAGGGCTTGAGACATGCTCACCTTCACAAGGAAATGAGAGGAGACAACGTGAGATGGGGGAATGCACCACTCTGAACCACTCCGAACCACTCACAGCGGTGGCGAGTGCCATGTAGGCAGGTCGGGGCAGCACGGAGGCAGCAGAGGAGGAGTCGAGCGCTGTGCCGCCCGCCCCCGCAGAGGAGAGCGGTGGGAACATGGAGGGCGTGACCACCAGGTCCGCTGTGCCGAGATGCATGTCCTTTATCTTCACATAGAAGAACGGGCTGATGGGGATGGACAAGGAAGGGGGGGTGGGCAGAGAGGAAGAATGGAAAGGAGGGTGATGGGAGCACCCCCCACATGAGCTGGTGCTGTTGCACTTGTCCACCCTCGTGTGGGCCATAGGCATGACGGTCACACTCAACGAACGAGTCTCTGTAAAAGCACACAGCCTCGCACTGCTGGCAGCAACACACACCACCCTTCACGTCACCCGCCCTCACGTCATCCCAATGCGAGCCAAGCCAACCCACCTGAGGCTGTTCTTGTACACGCGGGCTGACCCGCTAGCAGGCCCGGCGTCCGTGGTCCCCAGCAGCAGGTGGCTTCCCCCCCCAGCAGCAGAGGCATCGTCCCCCTCCAGGCACAGTGCGAAGCCCGCTCGCGGCACCACCCCGCTCTCCGCCAGCTGGGAGAGCGGTGAGAGCGGCCCCGTGCCCAGCCCCAACACGCCCCCTGGGGCACCGTTGTCTGTTGCCAGCACTCCCGTTTGATACCGCCCACAGCTGAGGAAGGAAGGAGGGAGGGTGGGGTGCGGACGGAGGGATCGGGTGGGGGAGGGGGGAAGGGTGCGGAAGGGGATGGAGTGGGAGGGGCAGCTGGGAGAGCAGTGAGAGCGCCTTGCGCCCAGCCCCAGCACGCCTCCTGGGGCGCCGCTCTCTGTGCCCAGCAGCCCTGACTGATAGCGCCCGCAGCTGTGAGAGGGGGAGCGAATGGGGAGAGGGGGTAAGAGCGGGAAAGTAGGGCAATCGGTGGGAGAGGCGCGGCGTTGACAAGCGTGACGAGCAGCGAAGCACACAAGCACGCATGGCACCACGCCCGCATGCACACCAACCCTAAGGTCACAGCACGCGTACCCGAAGGTGAGGTTGGGAGCGAGGAAGCTGCCGTCCTCGAGGCTGAGATGCACCTCGTCGCGCACCAGGTTGCCCGCTGAGCTGCCCTGGGGGGAGCTGGACACCAGCGCGTACTGGCACGTGGAGTCCGGTGTGGGTAGGTCCGGTGCGATGCTGCAGCCCACTGAGAGCGAGCGGTCGTCCGCCCAGGCGGAGCAGGAGGAGGAGTCGCAGGGCATGGTGGTGAGCGTGGTGGACTCCGCTGGGTTGAACGGGGTTGGCTGGAGGGGTTGGGAGGCGGAGAGTGGGCATAGGAAATGGAGGGATGGGGGCGAAAGGCGCAGGTAGAAAGGGGGGCAGGGGTTGAGAGGGAGAGGTTGGCAGTCCGGGTGGAGCAGGTGGAGGAGTGGCAGGGGATGGTGGTGATGTGGACGTGCAGGGAGGAGCATGTGCCGGGAGGAGCATGTGCAGGGCTTACCGTGGAGGAGGAGGAGGGTCCATCGGTGCAGCGCACGCAGTCGCAGGGCAGCCAGAGCAGGTCGGACGCTGTGTCCACCATCACTTTGAACGCCTGCTGTGATGACCCCACTCGCACCTCCGTGTGGTACCTGCTGGTGGGCGGGAAGGGGAAGAGAAGGGAGAAGGGAGAAGGGAGAAGGGAGAAGGGAGAAGGGAGAAGGGAGAAGGGAGAAGGGAGAAGGGAGAAGGGAGAGGAGAGGGGACGGAAGAGAGGAGAAGGGGGAGAGTCAGGGGAGAGACAGGGGGAAAGCGATGAGTGAAGGGTAGGCAGAGCAGGTGGGACGCCGTATCGACCAGCGCGCTGAATGGTTGCTGCGACCACTCGCACCTCCGTGCGGTACCTGGTGGGGGGAGGGGGAGGGGGGAGAGGGAGGGTAGGGTAGTGGGGAAGCGGTGAGGGGAGGCCTATCCTGCCCAGGGCAGGTGGGGCGCCATGACCATCATGCCATCATGCCATCATGCCATCATGCCATCATGCCATCATGCCATCGTGTCCATCATGCCATCATGTCCATCATGCCATCATGCCATCATGTCCATCATGCCATCATGCCATCATGCCATCATGTCCATCATGCCATCGTGCCATCATGCCATCATGTCCATCATGCCATCATGTCCATCATGCCATCATGCCATCGTGCCATCATGCCATCGTGCCATCATGTCCATCATGCCATCGTGCCATCATGCCATCATGTCCATCATGCCATCATGTCCATCATGCCATCATGCCATCATGTCCATCATGCCATCATGCCATCATGCCATCGTGTCCATCATGCCATCATGTCCATCATGCCATCATGCCATCATGTCCATCATGCCATCATGCCATCATGCCATCATGTCCATCATGCCATCGTGCCATCATGCCATCATGTCCATCATGCCATCATGTCCATCATGCCATCATGCCATCGTGCCATCATGCCATCGTGCCATCATGTCCATCATGCCATCGTGCCATCATGCCATCATGTCCATCATGCCATCATGTCCATCATGCCATCATGCCATCATGCCATCATGTCCATCATGCCATCATGTCCATCATGCCATCATGTCCATCATGCCATCATGCCATCGTGCCATCATGCCATCATGCCATCATGTCCATCATGCCATCACGCCCAATCCATTCCTCACCACCCACCTGCGCCCTTCCCCATGTCTTCCCCCACCATCCCTCCCCCCTTCCCTGTCGCCGTCTAGCCCTCTCCACGCCTCCATGCGTTTCCAACCCAGCCCTCCCGCCCGCCCATCCCCAGCCGTACCACTTCCTCCCCTCCCCACTCCCGCTCTCCCCACCTGTCCGCGCTGCTGCGGGGTGGCGCGATGGTGACGTCAGCGCGAGAGACGGCGGCCCTAAACTCTGCGCTGACTGCGGGGTCGCGACTCGCCCCCACCGCCGTGTACATGGTCGTCTGGCGGAGGGGAGGGAGGGACGGGAGACAAAAGGAAGGGGGAGGGGAGGAACGGGGAAGGGGGGAAGGGGGAGGGAAGGAAGGGGGAAGGGGGGAAGTGGGAGGGGGGGAAGGGGGAAGTGAGGAAGGGGGAGGTGGGGAAGGGGGAAGGAGGGAGGGGGGGAAGGGGGAAGGGGGGAGGGGGGGAAACAAGAGGAGTATGAGCCGGAGGGAAAGGGCTGCTGGGGGGTGGGTAAAGGGGCAGACAGGGATGAGCAGCTGGAAACGCGTACGACTCACCCTGAGCAACGCGCTGTCCCGCGCGTCGCCGTACTCGTAGCGGATCTCGTTCTTCAGCCCCACTCGCGGCAGCTCCGGCAGCCCCGCCGCCACCACCGCCGCGTCCGCCGCTGGTGTGGGCTGGCGCGCGGGTGAATGGCGGGAAGAGGAGGTGGTGGAGAAGAGAGGGGGGGAGGTGGGGGGCGCGAGGGAATGGGAGGAAAAGTGAGGCGCAGTTGGGAACCCCATTGTCGCTGCGCCCGAGGGCGCAACGCGCCGGGGGGCGGAGAGAGAGGCGGGGAGGGGTTGACGAAGTATCAATGGGAAAGGGGGAAGGGAGAAAGCGAGGGAATAAGGGGGTAGCCGGGGGGGGGAGCAGGCGGGAAGCGGGAGACTTGTTCCATTCCGCCAAAGCAATAACCGCCCGCCCCTTCCCTCCCGCGCAACCCCGCAATCCAGCGAGCAGCGCGCAAGAAACGCCTGCGCCCCTTCCCCCACTCGCAACCCGTTTCCCGGCTCTACCCCAGCACTCCGCGCGCCACTCCTCCCTGCTTACGCCAACCCCGCCCACCCCCGCCAGCCTCGGCGGCTCACCTCCGCTTGCGCCGCTCGCGCTCCGCGCGTGAGCACCAGATGCACCGTCTCCGCCTCCGCCACTCCGCCCTTCGCCCACGGCGCGCGCCAACCTTCCGCCGACTGCCCCCCTCCGCCCGTGTCGCTTCCGCCGCCGTTGCTGTCAGTGGATGGTTCGCTTGAATTCGATGATGTGTCACTGCCTGACGATGACGTGTCACTGCCTGACGAGGACGTGTCACTGCCTGACGATGAGGTGTCACCGCTCGACGAGGACTTGTCACTGCCTGACGATGACGTGTCATTGTGTGACGATGACTTGTCACTGCCTGACGATGACGTGTCACCGCTCGACGAGGACTTGTCACTGCCTGACGATGACGTGTCATTGTGTGACAATGACTTGTCACTGCCTGACGATGACGTGTCACCGCTCGACGAGGACTTGTCACTGCCTGACGATGACGTGTCATTGTGTGACGATGACTTGTCACTGCCTGACGATGACGTGTGACCGCTCGACGAGGACTTGTCACTGCCTGACGATGACGTGTCACTGCCTGACGATGACGTGTCATTGCTTGACGAGGACTTGTCACTGCCTGACGATGACGTGTCATTGCTTGACGATGACGTGTCATTGCTTGACGAGGACTTGTCACTGCCTGACGATGAACTGCTGCTCGATGAGCTTCCGTCCGACGTGGAATTCGATTTCTCACTGCCGCCCGCCGCCGATCCGCTGTTCTTGTCATCGCTGCTGCTGCTACCGCCGCTACTGCTGCTACCGCCGCTACTGCTGCTGCTATTGTTCTTGTCACTGCTGCTATTGCTCTTGCCACTGCTGCTACTGCTGCTATTGCTCTTGTCACTGCCGCTGCTGCTGCTGCTATTACTCTTGTCACTGCCGCTGCTGCTGCTGCTATTGCTCTTGTCACTGCTGCTACTGCTGCTATTGCTCTTGTCACTGCTGCTACTGCTGCTGCTATTAGTCTTGTCACTGCTGCTACTCTTGCCTTTGCTGTCGCCCGCGCTCGTCACATTCGTCGCAGAATCTTTGCTGCTCGTCGCCAGCGTCGCCGACGCTTCGTTCGGCCCCGAGGACTGTCGCAGGCGGAAGGGAGCGGGAGGGATGGGAAAGAATGGCGGGAAGGTCGGGTAAGGAAGCGGGGTGGATACACGTCGAGTACGAGGAGACGCAATATCGAGGATGGATACCGTCGGGGACGAGGAGGTAGAGCGCGAGTGAAAGGGGGGGAGGGTTGATTCGAGACAGCTACAGAAGGGAACGAACGGACGGAACGGGGAAACGGGTGTATGGGGCGAGGAAAGTGAGAAAGAGTGTTGGGGAGAGCGGAAGGGGGAGAGGAAAAGTAACGCGGACCGACTGGGACGTGACAAGACGAGTGGAGGAGAGGCGGCGTCGCCGGAATAGGAGTCGGCGAAAAGCCTTCGTTTCGCTTCTAACGCCTGTAGCGTGTCGCCAGCACGAGGTGAGCACGAGCGCTTCCCAGGGCTACGCGTTCCGAAATCCTCGCAACATCAGTGTGGGAACTTGATGGGGTGACTCTGGGAGACTTACGAGGTGAATTCGGTTCCAACAGGCGAGTTCGGGTCTATGATGGGAATCCGGCGTTAAAAGACCTACCTGCGCGAAGGAGGGGAAGAAGGGGAAGTAGGCTCGGGTGGCGCCCACAAGCAGTGCGGAGCGGCGGGTGCGCGCGGGAGCATCACTGGCTGGAGCGAGCGGCCCTGCCAGGGGCGGGAGTGGCGATAGGCCGCACGACAGCAGAGCGAGCAGCAGCAGCGCGGGGCGCAGCAGCCGCAGCTGCCGCTCCGCCACGTGCTGCGCGCACAGCCTGCCGCATCTGTTGCCGCCTAATCTGCTCCGTTGGCGCGAGTCCTCGACGCTATCAGTACCCAACTGTCTGTTTGGCTCCGCGGACCAGCATTCGCTGCTTCCACGCTGCCGCCTTTCGGCGCTCGCTCGAGACTGAACTAGTTCGTGTCCGCCGTCGCTACTGCCAGCGCATCGCCCGCTCGCGACGCGGTCGGCGCCGCTACAGCCGCTACCTATCGCGCCACCTGTAGCGCTATCTGTGCTACAGCCGCCGCGCCGAGCCGGCTCTGCTGCGCCCATGCCGTCGCGGTCTCCCGCGCATCCTGTGGTGAAATCGCGGCCACCGCACTGCGCGCCGTCGCTGGGCACGTGAACGCCACGTGGCAGCAACATTGTTTTCGATGCAGTGCAGCGTGGCCCACACGATCCAGCTACGTGGATTTTGCGCCCTTGCTATGGCGAAAGACCTCTCTTTAGTTCTAGTAATCGTTGATAACTAGTCGCCCTTCGCTATTCGCTGCATTCAAAATTTAGACATAACTCCTCGCCAGAGGCTTGATGCCTGCACGTCCAGCCGCGGCTCGCTGCGCTACGGCTTGGCGACGCGACTGTATAAAGTAAACACTAATCAATAACCAGTAGCTAATAGTTGCTATATTTCGGATCGTGACGAGTGCGGACAGCTGGTGAGTCCTCGACAAGTGGGATCAAGCCCCGCGCAACTCGGAGATCCACGGCGCGGAAGCAGCGCAAGCCGCGCGCCGTGGGTGGGGGGCGTTGAGATGCGGGGATGCGCGCAAGGTCACGCCCTTGTGATGGGATGGGAGGAAGCGGTCAACTCGGTTTTGCTACCTTCTCCTCCTTGTGCTCCTGGTGCTCTCTGCTCTCGTCCACAGATTTCCGTCAGCTCAACTGTACGGCTTTCTTCCCTCCCCTGCTCTAGCCTACTATTCCGTCTACGAGGCTGGGAGGGAGGGCTGGGTGGCTGGGCACGAGCTCGTGTTTTGCGGCGCACTGGGTGGGATGGGATTATAGGAGGGCCGTTCGTCAAAATTCCATGTGCTCCACCTGCCCACCGCGCACACTGGTCGCTGTGATGTGAGCCACTCGTTCGATTCCGCCAGGACAGGACCCTGTGCTGGGCGAGCTTCGCCGCGTGCGAAGTGTTCAACCTGGAGAGCGCGCAGCGCAAGCAGGGCAAGTTCCAGATGGTTCCGCCTAGGCGCGAGTTGCGCGCCTGGTGGATGTTTGAGGAGCTGTTGACTCGCCAATGGCTGGACCACCGCCGTTTGTTACCCTAGCAGGCCCCAGGTTGTTCTTAACGAGTCGCAGGTTCTCTTGGTGAACTCCACGCTCGGCAAGAAGGCTTCCAACTAAGGCGTCACAGGGCACTTTGCCGACATGATGGTGGTGGACCACAGCGACCACTGTCGGTTGCTACGAAAAAATACATGCACAGGGTGTTTTCCAGACGTACTTTGCGACACAGCGAAATTCCGGAACAGATTACCATTTTGTAGATACATTTAACACAAAACACTTGTTGGATAATATCCGAGCTGCCAGAGTTTCTGTTGGTGCACCTTAACGCGTATGCCGCCTACATTCGATTCAATCCTCCTCATCCCCTCCTGAGGAAATGACGGATTGCCCTGTTTTCAAGTTTCCGATTCCTTTAGGCAGTGGCTTTGACACCGCCTCGCTTCTCCGCTCGCGTCCGATTCCTTGGGGCAGCTGATTTCGACATTTCCAATTTCCTGTGACCAGGAAAATTCTGAAGTTTACCTGGTTTTAGTTTATGGGCCAGTGGAAAAAATAAACCCCTCTCGGATGGCTGGCCATTTGGGAGGCATCAACCCTAAACACCTTGCCTCATGGTGTTTAGGGTTGATGCATCCCAAATGGCATGCCCCCATGAGGGGTATAATATTTTTTTTTCCCGAGCTTCTCGTAATTGATGCGACAATTCAATTTATGATATCCCAATAAATAAACACAATATTATTCTCTGGACTCAAAAAGGGGCAATAGCGTAAATAACTGACCGAAGGTATCGACTCGAGCGCGAAGCCAGGCGGTGTCAAAATCACTGTCAAAAGGAATCGGAAACCCGAAACCAGGGCGGTCCGTCATTCCCTCCCTCATTCTACTCATCACAAGCCCATATTTCGCGGCTCCCCGCACTTTGTTCTATCCACAAGATGACTACTCGCGTCGCACGCCTACCAGTGCATTTCGCACCTCCGCCATGGGCCGGAGATCGCGGTAGTAAGCCTGATTTCTCCCCCATTCATCCACGGTAGCACGGACGGCGTGGCTTCACCAGTACGTTGACTTGCGCCATCCTCAGCATCCCTCGTTTTCTCCCCAGCCAGTTTTCCCAGACGTCCGTTGTCTCATGCGGACCCTACTTGTCGCATTCCTACTCGGCGATTTCCCACCTGCACGATGGCATCATGGCCGTGCCAAGCTGTCGCAGAGCCACGAGATACATCAGATTGACATGTCATGGCATTTGCCGCCACCACAGCACGTCGAGTGCTGCCGTGTTTGCGATTTCTGAGCACACTTAACACAAAAAGGTGTCGCCCGCTCATTGCCTACAGTGCTTTCGTGTTTGCGTGCAGCGCAGGCTGCGAGGCGTGCAGCAGAGAGGCACGCGGCAGAGACCGGCTCCGAACGATCTCGTCTCCCATGCCGCGCGCGCATGAAGCGCGTGGGGCGGAGAGAGGGAAGGGGGCGCGAGGCGGCGATCCGCAGTGTTCCGCGCACCTGCTTCAGCGCACGCACGGCTGTCATCGATTCGTCCCGCGGCGACCTTTCTAGGGGCGGTTTCGTGGCAACAGCTGCTGCTGCTGAGACAGGGGGGAGAGCAGCCGGGTGTGACAGTATAGAGCGGATCGCAGAGCTGATTCGCCGCACGCATGCACCTGAGCGCTATGCGCATGGCAGCGCGGGACGCGGGGAAGGTGCAGCAGAGAGGGGGAGTGAGGTGGTGCACGAGGGGCATGGGGAGGAGCCATTGCGGTCACTGGACGCAGGGCGGTGGGTGAAGCTCATTTGCGGGGCCAGCTTCGAGGTGAGCCGCGGATTGGTGCTGATTGTAGTTTGAGTGGACTGAAAATATATGATTGGCATGGCATGGGGCACAGCTGCTGCAATTGCCCGAGGTGGGGCGGTGGCGGAAACTCATTCGCGGGGCCAGCTTCTGGTGAGGTGCGGGTGTGTGTTGAGAGTGGTGGTAGTGGAGGTGCAATGTGAGCAGAGTGGAAATGCACGAGGGGCAGGTGGCACCGTGGCAGAGCCGTTTCACTCACTGCAGGAGGGGCGGTGGTTGTCTTGAAGCTCATATTACGTGGGGGCAGCGCAGCTTCGAGGTGAGCTGTGCTGCTGTCACTCACGGCTTCCCTTTTGAGATTCCCTGTGGGCTGTGCCTGCACCTGGACCATGCTGCCAACGCATCCCCCTCTCCCTGTGCCTGCACCTGGACCATGCTGCCAACGCATCCCCCTCTCCCTGTGCCTGCACCTGGACCATGCTGCCAACGCATCCCCCTCTCCCTGTGCCTGCACCTGGACCATGCTGCCAACGCATCCCCCTCTCCCTGTGCCTGCACCTGGACCGTGCTGCCAACGCATCCCCCTCTCCCTGTGCCTGCACCTGGACCATGCTGCCAACGCATCCCCCTCTCCCTGTGCCTGCACCTGGACCATGCTGCCAACGCATCCCCCTCTCCCTGTGCCTGCACCTGGACCATGCTGCCAACGCATCCCCCTCTCCCTGTGCCTGCACCTGGACCGTGCTGCCAACCCATCCCCCTCTCCCTGTGCCTGCACCTGGACCATGCTGCCAACGCATCCCCCTCTCCCTGTGCCTGCACCTGGACCGTGCTGCCAACGCATCCCCCTCTCCCTGTGCCTGCACCTGGACCGTGCTGCCAACGCATCCCCCTCTCCCTGTGCCTGCACCTGGACCATGCTGCCAACGCATCCCCCTCTCCCTGTGCCTGCACCTGGACCGTGCTGCCAACGCATCCCCCTCTCCCTGTGCCTGCACCTGGACCGTGCTGCCAACGCATCCCCCTCTCCCTGTGCCTGCACCTGGACCGTGCTGCCAACGCATCCCCCTCTCCCTGTGCCTGCACCTGGACCATGCTGCCAACGCATCCCCCTCTCCCTGTGCCTGCACCTGGACCATGCTGCCAACGCATCCCCCTCTCCCTGTGCCTGCACCTGGACCATGCTGCCAACGCATCCCCCTCTCCCTGTGCCTGCACCTGGACCGTGCTGCCAACGCATCCCCCTCTCCCTGTGCCTGCACCTGGACCGTGCTGCCAACGCATCCCCCTCTCCCTGTGCCTGCACCTGGACCATGCTGCCAACGCATCCCCCTCTCCCTGTGCCTGCACCTGGACCATGCTGCCAACGCATCCCCCTCTCCCTGTGCCTGCACCTGGACCATGCTGCCAACGCATCCCCCTCTCCCTGTGCCTGCACCTGGACCATGCTGCCAACGCATCCCCCTCTCCCTGTGCCTGCACCTGGACCGTGCTGCCAACGCATCCCCCTCTCCCTGTGCCTGCACCTGGACCATGCTGCCAACGCATCCCCCTCTCCCTGTGCCTGCACCTGGACCGTGCTGCCAACGTATCCCCCTCTCCCTGTGCCTGCACCTGGACCGTGCTGCCAACGCATCCCCCTCTCCCTGTGCCTGCACCTGGACCATGCTGCCAACGCATCCCCCTCTCCCTGTGCCTGCACCTGGACCATGCTGCCAACGCATCCCCCTCTCCCTGTGCCTGCACCTGGGCCATGCTGCCAACGCATCCCCCTCTCCCTGTGCCTGCACCTGGACCATGCTGCCAACGCATCCCCCTCTCCCTGTGCCTGCACCTGGACCGTGCTGCCAACGCATCCCCCTCTCCCTGTGCCTGCACCTGGACCATGCTGCCAACGCATCCCCCTCTCCCTGTGCCTGCACCTGGACCATGCTGCCAACGCATCCCCCTCTCCTTGTGCCTGCACCTGGACCGTGCTGCCAACGCATCCCCCTCTCCCTGTGCCTGCACCTGGACCGTGCTGCCAACGCATCCCCCTCTCCCTGTGCCTGCACCTGGACCATGCTGCCAACGCATCCCCCTCTCCCTGTGCCTGCACCTGGACCATGCTGCCAACGCATCCCCCTCTCCCTGTGCCTGCACCTGGACCATGCTGCCAACGCATCCCCCTCTCCCTGTGCCTGCACTTGGACAATGCTGCCAACGCATCCCCCTCTCCCTGTGCCTGCACCTGGACCATGCTGCCAACGCATCCCCCTCTCCCTGTGCCTGCACCTGGACCATGCTGCCAACGCATCCCCCTCTCCCTGTGCCTGCACCTGGACCATGCTGCCAACGCATCCCCCTCTCCCTGTGCCTGCACCTGGACCATGCTGCCAACGCATCCCCCTCTCCCTGTGCCTGCACCTGGACCGTGCTGCCAACGCATCCCCCTCTCCCTGTGCCTGCACCTGGACCGTGCTGCCAACGCATCCCCCTCTCCCTGTGCCTGCACCTGGACCATGCTGCCAACGCATCCCCCTCTCCCTGTGCCTGCACCTGGACCATGCTGCCAACGCATCCCCCTCTCCCTGTGCCTGCACCTGGACCGTGCTGCCAACGCATCCCCCTCTCCCTGTGCCTGCACCTGGACCGTGCTGCCAACGCATCCCCCTCTCCCTGTGCCTGCACCTGGACCATGCTGCCAACGCATCCCCCTCTCCCTGTGCCTGCACCTGGACCGTGCTGCCAACGCATCCCCCTCTCCCTGTGCCTGCACCTGGACCATGCTGCCAATGCATCCCCCTCTCCCTGTGCCTGCACCTGGACCGTGCTGCCAACGCATCCCCCTCTCCCTGTGCCTGCACCTGGACCGTGCTGCCAACGCATCCCCCTCTCCCTGTGCCTGCACCTGGACCGTGCTGCCAACGCATCCCCCTCTCCCTGTGCCTGCACCTGGACCATGCTGCCAACGCATCCCCCTCTCCCTGTGCCTGCACCTGGACCGTGCTGCCAACGCATCCCCCTCTCCCTGTGCCTGCACCTGGACCATGCTGCCAACGCATCCCCCTCTCCCTGTGCCTGCACCTGGACCATGCTGCCAACGCATCCCCCTCTCCCTGTGCCTGCACCTGGACCGTGCTGCCAACGCATCCCCCTCTCCCTGTGCCTGCACCTGGACCGTGCTGCCAACGCATCCCCCTCTCCCTGTGCCTGCACCTGGACCATGCTGCCAACGCATCCCCCTCTCCCTGTGCCTGCACCTGGACCGTGCTGCCAACGCATCCCCCTCTCCCTGTGCCTGCACCTGGACCGTGCTGCCAACGCATCCCCCTCTCCCTGTGCCTGCACCTGGACCGTGCTGCCAACGCATCCCCCTCTCCCTGTGCCTGCACCTGGACCGTGCTGCCAACGCATCCCCCTCTCCCTGTGCCTGCACCTGGACCGTGCTGCCAACGCATCCCCCTCTCCCTGTGCCTGCACCTGGACCGTGCTGCCAACGCATCCCCCTCTCCCTGTGCCTGCACCTGGACCATGCTGCCAACGCATCCCCCTCTCCCTGTGCCTGCACCTGGACCATGCTGCCAACGCATCCCCCTCTCCTTGTGCCTGCACCTGGACCGTGCTGCCAACGCATCCCCCTCTCCCTGTGCCTGCACCTGGACCGTGCTGCCAACGCATCCCCCTCTCCCTGTGCCTGCACCTGGACCGTGCTGCCAACGCATCCCCCTCTCCCTGTGCCTGCACCTGGACCGTGCTGCCAACGCATCCCCCTCTCCCTGTGCCTGCACCTGGACCGTGCTGCCAACGCATCCCCCTCTCCCTGTGCCTGCACCTGGACCGTGCTGCCAACGCATCCCCCTCTCCCTGTGCCTGCACCTGGACCGTGCTGCCAACGCATCCCCCTCTCCCTGTGCCTGCACCTGGACCATGCTGCCAACGCATCCCCCTCTCCCTGTGCCTGCACCTGGACCATGCTGCCAACGCATCCCCCTCTCCCTGTGCCTGCACCTGGACCATGCTGCCAACGCATCCCCCTCTCCCTGTGCCTGCACCTGGACCATGCTGCCAACGCATCCCCCTCTCCCTGTGCCTGCACCTGGACCGTGCTGCCAACGCATCCCCCTCTCCCTGTGCCTGCACCTGGACCGTGCTGCCAACGCATCCCCCTCTCCCTGTGCCTGCACCTGGACCATGCTGCCAACGCATCCCCCTCTCCCTGTGCCTGCACCTGGACCGTGCTGCCAACGCATCCCCCTCTCCCTGTGCCTGCACCTGGACCATGCTGCCAACGCATCCCCCTCTCCCTGTGCCTGCACCTGGACCGTGCTGCCAACGCATCCCCCTCTCCCTGTGACTGCACCTGGACCATGCTGCCAACGCATCCCCCTCTCCCTGTGACTGCACCTGGACCATGCTGCCAACGCATCCCCCTCTCCCTGTGCCTGCACCTGGACCGTGCTGCCAACGCATCCCCCTCTCCCTGTGACTGCACCTGGACCATGCTGCCAACGCATCCCCCTCTCCCTGTGCCTGCACCTGGACCGTGCTGCCAACGCATCCCCCTCTCCCTGTGCCTGCACCTGGACCGTGCTGCCAACGCATCCCCCTCTCCCTGTGCCTGCACCTGGACCGTGCTGCCAACGCATCCCCCTCTCCCTGTGCCTGCACCTGGACCGTGCTGCCAACGCATCCCCCTCTCCCTGTGCCTGCACCTGGACCGTGCTGCCAACGCATCCCCCTCTCCCTGTGCCTGCACTTGGACCATGCTGCCAACGCATCCCCCTCTCCCTGTGCCTGCACCTGGACCATGCTGCCAACGCATCCCCCTCTCCTTGTGCCTGCACCTGGACCGTGCTACCAACGCATCCCCCTCTCCCTGTGCCTGCACCTGGACCGTGCTGCCAACGCATCCCCCTCTCCCTGTGCCTGCACCTGGACCGTGCTGCCAACGCATCCCCCTCTCCCTGTGCCTGCACCTGGACCGTGCTGCCAACGCATCCCCCTCTCCCTGTGCCTGCACCTGGACCATGCTGCCAACGCATCCCCCTCTCCCTGTGCCTGCACCTGGACCGTGCTGCCAACGCATCCCCCTCTCCCTGTGCCTGCACCTGGACCGTGCTGCCAACGCATCCCCCTCTCCCTGTGCCTGCACCTGGACCGTGCTGCCAACGCATCCCCCTCTCCCTGTGCCTGCACCTGGACCATGCTGCCAACGCATCCCCCTCTCCCTGTGCCTGCACCTGGACCGTGCTGCCAACGCATCCCCCTCTCCCTGTGCCTGCACCTGGACCATGCTGCCAACGCATCCCCCTCTCCCTGTGCCTGCACCTGGACCGTGCTGCCAACGCATCCCCCTCTCCCTGTGCCTGCACCTGGACCGTGCTGCCAACGCATCCCCCTCTCCCTGTGCCTGCACCTGGACCGTGCTGCCAACGCATCCCCCTCTCCCTGTGCCTGCACCTGGACCGTGCTGCCAACGCATCCCCCTCTCCCTGTGCCTGCACCTGGACCGTGCTGCCAACGCATCCCCCTCTCCCTGTGCCTGCACCTGGACCATGCTGCCAACGCATCCCCCTCTCCCTGTGCCTGCACCTGGACCATGCTGCCAACGCATCCCCCTCTCCCTGTGCCTGCACCTGGACCGTGCTGCCAACGCATCCCCCTCTCCCTGTGCCTGCACCTGGACCGTGCTGCCAACGCATCCCCCTCTCCCTGTGCCTGCACCTGGACCGTGCTGCCAACGCATCCCCCTCTCCCTGTGCCTGCACCTGGACCGTGCTGCCAACGCATCCCCCTCTCCCTGTGCCTGCACCTGGACCGTGCTGCCAACGCATCCCCCTCTCCCTGTGCCTGCACCTGGACCATGCTGCCAACGCATCCCCCTCTCCCTGTGCCTGCACCTGGACCGTGCTGCCAACGTATCCCCCTCTCCCTGTGCCTGCACCTGGACCATGCTGCCAACGCATCCCCCTCTCCCTGTGCCTGCACTTGGACAATGCTGCCAACGCATCCCCCTCTCCCTGTGCCTGCACCTGGACCATGCTGCCAACGCATCCCCCTCTCCCTGTGCCTGCACCTGGACCGTGCTGCCAACGCATCCCCCTCTCCCTGTGCCTGCACCTGGACCATGCTGCCAACGCATCCCCCTCTCCCTGTGCCTGCACCTGGACCATGCTGCCAACGCATCCCCCTCTCCCTGTGCCTGCACCTGGACCATGCTGCCAACGCATCCCCCTCTCCCTGTGCCTGCACCTGGACCGTGCTGCCAACGCATCCCCCTCTCCCTGTGCCTGCACCTGGACCGTGCTGCCAACGCATCCCCCTCTCCCTGTGCCTGCACCTGGACCATGCTGCCAACGCATCCCCCTCTCCCTGTGCCTGCACCTGGACCGTGCTGCCAACGCATCCCCCTCTCCCTGTGCCTGCACCTGGACCATGCTGCCAATGCATCCCCCTCTCCCTGTGCCTGCACCTGGACCATGCTGCCAACGCATCCCCCTCTCCCTGTGCCTGCACCTGGACCGTGCTGCCAACGCATCCCCCTCTCCCTGTGCCTGCACCTGGACCGTGCTGCCAACGCATCCCCCTCTCCCTGTGCCTGCACCTGGACCATGCTGCCAACGCATCCCCCTCTCCCTGTGCCTGCACCTGGACCGTGCTGCCAACGCATCCCCCTCTCCCTGTGCCTGCACCTGGACCGTGCTGCCAACGCATCCCCCTCTCCCTGTGCCTGCACCTGGACCGTGCTGCCAACGCATCCCCCTCTCCCTGTGCCTGCACCTGGACCATGCTGCCAACGCATCCCCCTCTCCCTGTGCCTGCACCTGGACCGTGCTGCCAACGCATCCCCCTCTCCCTGTGCCTGCACCTGGACCGTGCTGCCAACGCATCCCCCTCTCCCTGTGCCTGCACCTGGACCGTGCTGCCAACGCATCCCCCTCTCCCTGTGCCTGCACCTGGACCATGCTGCCAACGCATCCCCCTCTCCCTGTGCCTGCACCTGGACCATGCTGCCAACGCATCCCCCTCTCCCTGTGCCTGCACCTGGACCATGCTGCCAACGCATCCCCCTCTCCCTGTGCCTGCACCTGGACCATGCTGCCAACGCATCCCCCTCTCCCTGTGCCTGCACCTGGACCGTGCTGCCAACGCATCCCCCTCTCCCTGTGCCTGCACCTGGACCGTGCTGCCAACGCATCCCCCTCTCCCTGTGCCTGCACCTGGACCATGCTGCCAACGCATCCCCCTCTCCCTGTGCCTGCACCTGGACCGTGCTGCCAACGCATCCCCCTCTCCCTGTGCCTGCACCTGGACCATGCTGCCAATGCATCCCCCTCTCCCTGTGCCTGCACCTGGACCATGCTGCCAACGTATCCCCCTCTCCCTGTGCCTGCACCTGGACCGTGCTGCCAACGCATCCCCCTCTCCCTGTGCCTGCACCTGGACCGTGCTGCCAACGCATCCCCCTCTCCCTGTGCCTGCACCTGGACCATGCTGCCAACGCATCCCCCTCTCCCTGTGCCTGCACCTGGACCGTGCTGCCAACGCATCCCCCTCTCCCTGTGCCTGCACCTGGACCGTGCTGCCAACGCATCCCCCTCTCCCTGTGCCTGCACCTGGACCGTGCTGCCAACGCATCCCCCTCTCCCTGTGCCTGCACCTGGACCATGCTGCCAACGCATCCCCCTCTCCCTGTGCCTGCACCTGGACCGTGCTGCCAACGCATCCCCCTCTCCCTGTGCCTGCACCTGGACCGTGCTGCCAACGCATCCCCCTCTCCCTGTGCCTGCACCTGGACCGTGCTGCCAACGCATCCCCCTCTCCCTGTGCCTGCACCTGGACCATGCTGCCAACGCATCCCCCTCTCCCTGTGCCTGCACCTGGACCGTGCTGCCAACGCATCCCCCTCTCCCTGTGCCTGCACCTGGACCATGCTGCCAACGCATCCCCCTCTCCCTGTGCCTGCACCTGGACCGTGCTGCCAACGCATCCCCCTCTCCCTGTGCCTGCACCTGGACCGTGCTGCCAACGCATCCCCCTCTCCCTGTGCCTGCACCTGGACCGTGCTGCCAACGCATCCCCCTCTCCCTGTGCCTGCACCTGGACCGTGCTGCCAACGCATCCCCCTCTCCCTGTGCCTGCACCTGGACCGTGCTGCCAACGCATCCCCCTCTCCCTGTGCCTGCACCTGGACCGTGCTGCCAACGCATCCCCCTCTCCCTGTGCCTGCACCTGGACCATGCTGCCAACGCATCCCCCTCTCCCTGTGCCTGCACCTGGACCATGCTGCCAACGCATCCCCCTCTCCCTGTGCCTGCACCTGGACCGTGCTGCCAACGCATCCCCCTCTCCCTGTGCCTGCACCTGGACCGTGCTGCCAACGCATCCCCCTCTCCCTGTGCCTGCACCTGGACCGTGCTGCCAACGCATCCCCCTCTCCCTGTGCCTGCACCTGGACTGTGCTGCCAACGCATCCCCCTCTCCCTGTGCCTGCACCTGGACCGTGCTGCCAACGCATCCCCCTCTCCCTGTGCCTGCACCTGGACCATGCTGCCAACGCATCCCCCTCTCCCTGTGCCTGCACCTGGACCGTGCTGCCAACGTATCCCCCTCTCCCTGTGCCTGCACCTGGACCATGCTGCCAACGCATCCCCCTCTCCCTGTGCCTGCACCTGGACCGTGCTGCCAACGCATCCCCCTCTCCCTGTGCCTGCACCTGGACCGTGCTGCCAACGAATCCCCCTCTCCCTGTGCCTGCACCTGGACCGTGCTGCCAACGCATCCCCCTCTCCCTGTGCCTGCACCTGGACCATGCTGCCAACGCATCCCCCTCTCCCTGTGCCTGCACCTGGACCGTGCTGCCAACGCATCCCCCTCTCCCTGTGTCTGCACCTGGACCGTGCTGCCAACGCATCCCCCTCTCCCTGTGCCTGCACCTGGACCGTGCTGCCAACGCATCCCCCTCTCCCTGTGCCTGCACCTGGACCGTGCTGCCAACGCATCCCCCTCTCCCTGTGCCTGCACCTGGACCGTGCTGCCAACGCATCCCCCTCTCCCTGTGCCTGCACCTGGACCGTGCTGCCAACGCATCCCCCTCTCCCTGTGCCTGCACCTGGACCGTGCTGCCAACGCATCCCCCTCTCCCTGTGCCTGCACCTGGACCATGCTGCCAACGCATCCCCCTCTCCCTGTGTCTGCACCTGGACCGTGCTGCCAACGCATCCCCCTCTCCCTGTGCCTGCACCTGGACCGTGCTGCCAACGCATCCCCCTCTCCCTGTGCCTGTACCTGGACCGTGCTGCCAACGCATCCCCCTCTCCCTGTGCCTGCACCTGGACCGTGCTGCCAACGCATCCCCCTCTCCCTGTGCCTGCACCTGGACCGTGCTGCCAACGCATCCCCCTCTCCCTGTGCCTGCACCTGGACCGTGCTGCCAACGCATCCCCCTCTCCCTGTGCCTGTACCTGGACCGTGCTGCCAACGCATCCCCCTCTCCCTGTGCCTGCACCTGGACCGTGCTGCCAACGCATCCCCCTCTCCCTGTGCCTGCACCTGGACCGTGCTGCCAACGCATCCCCCTCTCCCTGTGCCTGCACCTGGACCGTGCTGCCAACGCATCCCCCTCTCCCTGTGCCTGCACCTGGACCGTGCTGCCAACGCATCCCCCTCTCCCTGTGCCTGCACCTGGACCGTGCTGCCAACGTATCCCCCTCTCCCTGTGCCTGCACCTGGACCATGCTGCCAACGCATCCCCCTCTCCCTGTGCCTGCACCTGGACCGTGCTGCCAACGCATCCCCCTCTCCCTGTGCCTGCACCTGGACCGTGCTGCCAACGAATCCCCCTCTCCCTGTGCCTGCACCTGGACCGTGCTGCCAACGCATCCCCCTCTCCCTGTGCCTGCACCTGGACCATGCTGCCAACGCATCCCCCTCTCCCTGTGCCTGCACCTGGACCGTGCTGCCAACGCATCCCCCTCTCCCTGTGTCTGCACCTGGACCGTGCTGCCAACGCATCCCCCTCTCCCTGTGCCTGCACCTGGACCGTGCTGCCAACGCATCCCCCTCTCCCTGTGCCTGCACCTGGACCGTGCTGCCAACGCATCCCCCTCTCCCTGTGCCTGCACCTGGACCGTGCTGCCAACGCATCCCCCTCTCCCTGTGCCTGCACCTGGACCGTGCTGCCAACGTATCCCCCTCTCCCTGTGCCTGCACCTGGACCGTGCTGCCAACGCATCCCCCTCTCCCTGTGCCTGCACCTGGACCGTGCTGCCAACGCATCCCCCTCTCCCTGTGCCTGCACCTGGACCGTGCTGCCAACGCATCCCCCTCTCCCTGTGCCTGCACCTGGACCATGCTGCCAACGCATCCCCCTCTCCCTGTGCCTGCACCTGGACCGTGCTGCCAACGCATCCCCCTCTCCCTGTGCCTGCACCTGGACCGTGCTGCCAACGCATCCCCCTCTCCCTGTGCCTGCACCTGGACCGTGCTGCCAACGCATCCCCCTCTCCCTGTGCCTGCACCTGGACCGTGCTGCCAACGCATCCCCCTCTCCCTGTGCCTGCACCTGGACCGTGCTGCCAACGCATCCCCCTCTCCCTGTGCCTGCACCTGGACCGTGCTGCCAACGCATCCCCCTCTCCCTGTGCCTGCACCTGGACCGTGCTGCCAACGCATCCCCCTCTCCCTGTGCCTGCACCTGGACCGTGCTGCCAACGCATCCCCCTCTCCCTGTGCCTGCACCTGGACCATGCTGCCAACGCATCCCCCTCTCCCTGTGCCTGCACCTGGACCGTGCTGCCAACGCATCCCCCTCTCCCTGTGTCTGCACCTGGACCGTGCTGCCAACGCATCCCCCTCTCCCTGTGCCTGCACCTGGACCGTGCTGCCAACGCATCCCCCTCTCCCTGTGCCTGCACCTGGACCGTGCTGCCAACGCATCCCCCTCTCCCTGTGCCTGCACCTGGACCGTGCTGCCAACGCATCCCCCTCTCCCTGTGCCTGCACCTGGACCGTGCTGCCAACGCATCCCCCTCTCCCTGTGCCTGCACCTGGACCGTGCTGCCAACGCATCCCCCTCTCCCTGTGCCTGCACCTGGACCGTGCTGCCAACGCATCCCCCTCTCCCTGTGCCTGCACCTGGACCGTGCTGCCAACGCATCCCCCTCTCCCTGTGCCTGCACCTGGACCGTGCTGCCAACGCATCCCCCTCTCCCTGTGCCTGCACCTGGACCATGCTGCCAACGCATCCCCCTCTCCCTGTGCCTGCACCTGGACCGTGCTGCCAACGCATCCCCCTCTCCCTGTGCCTGCACCTGGACCGTGCTGCCAACGCATCCCCCTCTCCCTGTGCCTGCACCTGGACCGTGCTGCCAACGCATCCCCCTCTCCCTGTGCCTGCACCTGGACCATGCTGCCAACGCATCCCCCTCTCCCTGTGCCTGCACCTGGACCGTGCTGCCAACGCATCCCCCTCTCCCTGTGCCTGCACCTGGACCGTGCTGCCAACGCATCCCCCTCTCCCTGTGCCTGCACCTGGACCGTGCTGCCAACGCATCCCCCTCTCCCTGTGTCTGCACCTGGACCGTGCTGCCAACGCATCCCCCTCTCCCTGTGCCTGCACCTGGACCGTGCTGCCAACGCATCCCCCTCTCCCTGTGCCTGCACCTGGACCGTGCTGCCAACGCATCCCCCTCTCCCTGTGCCTGCACCTGGACCGTGCTGCCAACGTATCCCCCTCTCCCTGTGCCTGCACCTGGACCGTGCTGCCAACGCATCCCCCTCTCCCTGTGCCTGCACCTGGACCGTGCTGCCAACGCATCCCCCTCTCCCTGTGCCTGCACCTGGACCGTGCTGCCAACGCATCCCCCTCTCCCTGTGCCTGCACCTGGACCGTGCTGCCAACGCATCCCCCTCTCCCTGTGCCTGCACCTGGACCGTGCTGCCAACGCATCCCCCTCTCCCTGTGCCTGCACCTGGACCATGCTGCCAACGCATCCCCCTCTCCCTGTGCCTGCACCTGGACCGTGCTGCCAACGCATCCCCCTCTCCCTGTGCCTGCACCTGGACCGTGCTGCCAACGCATCCCCCTCTCCCTGTGCCTGCACCTGGACCGTGCTGCCAACGCATCCCCCTCTCCCTGTGTCTGCACCTGGACCGTGCTGCCAACGCATCCCCCTCTCCCTGTGCCTGCACCTGGACCGTGCTGCCAACGCATCCCCCTCTCCCTGTGCCTGCACCTGGACCGTGCTGCCAACGCATCCCCCTCTCCCTGTGCCTGCACCTGGACCGTGCTGCCAACGCATCCCCCTCTCCCTGTGCCTGCACCTGGACCGTGCTGCCAACGCATCCCCCTCTCCCTGTGCCTGCACCTGGACCGTGCTGCCAACGCATCCCCCTCTCCCTGTGCCTGCACCTGGACCGTGCTGCCAACGCATCCCCCTCTCCCTGTGCCTGTACCTGGACCGTGCTGCCAACGCATCCCCCTCTCCCTGTGCCTGCACCTGGACCGTGCTGTCAACGCATCCCCCTCTCCCTGTGCCTGCACCTGGACCGTGCTGCCAACGCATCCCCCTCTCCCTGTGCCTGCACCTGGACCGTGCTGCCAACGCATCCCCCTCTCCCTGTGCCTGCACCTGGACCGTGCTGCCAACGCATCCCCCTCTCCCTGTGCCTGCACCTGGACCGTGCTGCCAACGCATCCCCCTCTCCCTGTGCCTGCACCTGGACCGTGCTGCCAACGCATCCCCCTCTCCCTGTGCCTGCACCTGGACCGTGCTGCCAACGCATCCCCCTCTCCCTATGTCTGCACCTGGACCGTGCTGCCAACGCATCCCCCTCTCCCTGTGCCTGCACCTGGACCGTGCTGCCAACGCATCCCCCTCTCCCTGTGCCTGCACCTGGACCGTGCTGCCAACGCATCCCCCTCTCCCTGTGCCTGCACCTGGACCGTGCTGCCAACGTATCCCCCTCTCCCTGTGCCTGCACCTGGACCGTGCTGCCAACGCATCCCCCTCTCCCTGTGCCTGCACCTGGACCGTGCTGCCAACGCATCCCCCTCTCCCTGTGTCTGCACCTGGACCGTGCTGCCAACGCAACCCCCTCTCCCTGTGCCTGCACCTGGACCGTGCTGCCAACGCATCCCCCTCTCCCTGTGCCTGCACCTGGACCGTGCTGCCAACGCATCCCCCTCTCCCTGTGCCTGCACCTGGACCGTGCTGCCAACGCATCCCCCTCTCCCTGTGTCTGCACCTGGACCGTGCTGCCAACGCAACCCCCTCTCCCTGTGCCTGCACCTGGACCGTGCTGCCAACGCATCCCCCTCTCCCTGTGCCTGCACCTGGACCGTGCTGCCAACGCATCCCCCTCTCCCTGTGTCTGCACCTGGACCGTGCTGCCAACGCATCCCCCTCTCCCTGTGCCTGCACCTGGACCGTGCTGCCAACGCATCCCCCTCTCCCTGTGCCTGCACCTGGACCGTGCTGCCAACGCATCCCCCTCTCCCTGTGCCTGCACCTGGACCGTGCTGCCAACGCATCCCCCTCTCCCTGTGCCTGCACCTGGACCGTGCTGCCAACGTATCCCCCTCTCCCTGTGCCTGCACCTGGACCGTGCTGCCAACGCATCCCCCTCTCCCTGTGCCTGCACCTGGACCGTGCTGCCAACGCATCCCCCTCTCCCTGTGTCTGCACCTGGACCGTGCTGCCAACGCAACCCCCTCTCCCTGTGCCTGCACCTGGACCGTGCTGCCAACGCATCCCCCTCTCCCTGTGCCTGCACCTGGACCGTGCTGCCAACGCATCCCCCTCTCCCTGTGTCTGCACCTGGACCGTGCTGCCAACGCATCCCCCTCTCCCTGTGCCTGCACCTGGACCGTGCTGCCAACGCATCCCCCTCTCCCTGTGCCTGCACCTGGACCGTGCTGCCAACGCATCCCCCTCTCCCTGTGCCTGCACCTGGACCGTGCTGCCAACGTATCCCCCTCTCCCTGTGCCTGCACCTGGACCGTGCTGCCAACGCATCCCCCTCTCCCTGTGCCTGCACCTGGACCGTGCTGCCAACGCATCCCCCTCTCCCTGTGCCTGCACCTGGACCGTGCTGCCAACGCATCCCCCTCTCCCTGTGCCTGCACCTGGACCATGCTGCCAACGCATCCCCCTCTCCCTGTGCCTGCACCTGGACCGTGCTGCCAACGCATCCCCCTCTCCCTGTGCCTGCACCTGGACCATGCTGCCAACGCATCCCCCTCTCCCTGTGCCTGCACCTGGACCGTGCTGCCAACGCATCCCCCTCTCCCTGTGCCTGCACCTGGACCATGCTGCCAATGCATCCCCCTCTCCCTGTGCCTGCACCTGGACCATGCCGCCAACGCATCCCCCTCTCCCTGTGCCTGCACCTGGACCGTGCTGCCAACGCATCCCCCTCTCCCTGTGCCTGCACCTGGACCATGCTGCCAACGCATCCCCCTCTCCCTGTGCCTGCACCTGGACCGTGCTGCCAACGCATCCCCCTCTCCCTGTGCCTGCACCTGGACCGTGCTGCCAACGCATCCCCCTCTCCCTGTGCCTGCACCTGGACCGTGCTGCCAACGTATCCCCCTCTCCCTGTGCCTGCACCTGGACCGTGCTGCCAACGCATCCCCCTCTCCCTGTGCCTGCACCTGGACCGTGCTGCCAACGCATCCCCCTCTCCCTGTGTCTGCACCTGGACCGTGCTGCCAACGCAACCCCCTCTCCCTGTGCCTGCACCTGGACCGTGCTGCCAACGCATCCCCCTCTCCCTGTGCCTGCACCTGGACCGTGCTGCCAACGCATCCCCCTCTCCCTGTGTCTGCACCTGGACCGTGCTGCCAACGCATCCCCCTCTCCCTGTGCCTGCACCTGGACCGTGCTGCCAACGCATCCCCCTCTCCCTGTGCCTGCACCTGGACCGTGCTGCCAACGCATCCCCCTCTCCCTGTGCCTGCACCTGGACCGTGCTGCCAACGTATCCCCCTCTCCCTGTGCCTGCACCTGGACCGTGCTGCCAACGCATCCCCCTCTCCCTGTGCCTGCACCTGGACCGTGCTGCCAACGCATCCCCCTCTCCCTGTGCCTGCACCTGGACCGTGCTGCCAACGCATCCCCCTCTCCCTGTGCCTGCACCTGGACCATGCTGCCAACGCATCCCCCTCTCCCTGTGCCTGCACCTGGACCGTGCTGCCAACGCATCCCCCTCTCCCTGTGCCTGCACCTGGACCATGCTGCCAATGCATCCCCCTCTCCCTGTGCCTGCACCTGGACCATGCCGCCAACGCATCCCCCTCTCCCTGTGCCTGCACCTGGACCGTGCTGCCAACGCATCCCCCTCTCCCTGTGCCTGCACCTGGACCATGCTGCCAACGCATCCCCCTCTCCCTGTGCCTGCACCTGGACCGTGCTGCCAACGCATCCCCCTCTCCCTGTGCCTGCACCTGGACCGTGCTGCCAACGCATCCCCCTCTCCCTGTGCCTGCACCTGGACCGTGCTGCCAACGCATCCCCCTCTCCCTGTGCCTGCACCTGGACCGTGCTGCCAACGCATCCCCCTCTCCCTGTGCCTGCACCTGGACCGTGCTGCCAACGTATCCCCCTCTCCCTGTGCCTGCACCTGGACCGTGCTGCCAACGCATCCCCCTCTCCCTGTGCCTGCACCTGGACCGTGCTGCCAACGCATCCCCCTCTCCCTGTGCCTGCACCTGGACCGTGCTGCCAACGCATCCCCCTCTCCCTGTGCCTGCACCTGGACCGTGCTGCCAACGCATCCCCCTCTCCCTGTGCCTGCACCTGGACCGTGCTGCCAACGCATCCCCCTCTCCCTGTGCCTGCACCTGGACCGTGCTGCCAACGTATCCCCCTCTCCCTGTGCCTGCACCTGGACCGTGCTGCCAACGCATCCCCCTCTCCCTGTGCCTGCACCTGGACCGTGCTGCCAACGCATCCCCCTCTCCCTGTGCCTGCACCTGGACCGTGCTGCCAACGCATCCCCCTCTCCCTGTGCCTGCACCTGGACCGTGCTGCCAACGCATCCCCCTCTCCCTCTGCCTGCACCTGGACCGTGCTGCCAACGCATCCCCCTCTCCCTGTGCCTGCACCTGGACCGTGCTGCCAACGCATCCCCCTCTCCCTGTGCCTGCACCTGGACCGTGCTGCCAACGCATCCCCCTCTCCCTGTGCCTGCACCTGGACCGTGCTGCCAACGCATCCCCCTCTCCCTGTGTCTGCACCTGGACCGTGCTGCCAACGCATCCCCCTCTCCCTGTGCCTGCACCTGGACCGTGCTGCCAACGCATCCCCCTCTCCCTGTGCCTGCACCTGGACCGTGCTGCCAACGCATCCCCCTCTCCCTGTGCCTGCACCTGGACCGTGCTGCCAACGCATCCCCCTCTCCCTGTGCCTGCACCTGGACCGTGCTGCCAACGCATCCCCCTCTCCCTGTGCCTGCACCTGGACCGTGCTGCCAACGCATCCCCCTCTCCCTGTGCCTGCACCTGGACCGTGCTGCCAACGCATCCCCCTCTCCCTGTGCCTGCACCTGGACCGTGCTGCCAACGCATCCCCCTCTCCCTGTGCCTGCACCTGGACCGTGCTGCCAATGCATCCCCCTCTCCCTATGTCTGCACCTGGACCGTGCTGCCAACGCATCCCCCTCTCCCTGTGCCTGCACCTGGACCGTGCTGCCAACGCATCCCCCTCTCCCTGTGCCTGCACCTGGACCGTGCTGCCAACGCATCCCCCTCTCCCTGTGCCTGCACCTGGACCGTGCTGCCAACGTATCCCCCTCTTCCTGTGCCTGCACCTGGACCGTGCTGCCAACGCATCCCCCTCTCCCTGTGCCTGCACCTGGACCGTGCTGCCAACGCATCCCCCTCTCCCTGTGCCTGCACCTGGACCGTGCTGCCAACGCATCCCCCTCTCCCTGTGCCTGCACCTGGACCGTGCTGCCAACGCATCCCCCTCTCCCTGTGCCTGCACCTGGACCGTGCTGCCAACGCATCCCCCTCTCCCTGTGTCTGCACCTGGACCGTGCTGCCAACGCATCCCCCTCTCCCTGTGCCTGCACCTGGACCGTGCTGCCAACGCATCCCCCTCTCCCTGTGCCTGCACCTGGACCGTGCTGCCAACGCATCCCCCTCTCCCTGTGCCTGCACCTGGACCGTGCTGCCAACGCATCCCCCTCTCCCTGTGCCTGCACCTGGACCGTGCTGCCAACGCATCCCCCTCTCCCTGTGCCTGCACCTGGACCGTGCTGCCAACGCATCCCCCTCTCCCTGTGCCTGCACCTGGACCGTGCTGCCAACGCATCCCCCTCTCCCTGTGCCTGCACCTGGACCGTGCTGCCAACGCATCCCCCTCTCCCTGTGCCTGCACCTGGACCGTGCTGCCAACGCATCCCCCTCTCCCTATGTCTGCACCTGGACCGTGCTGCCAACGCATCCCCCTCTCCCTGTGCCTGCACCTGGACCGTGCTGCCAACGCATCCCCCTCTCCCTGTGCCTGCACCTGGACCGTGCTGCCAACGCATCCCCCTCTCCCTGTGCCTGCACCTGGACCGTGCTGCCAACGTATCCCCCTCTTCCTGTGCCTGCACCTGGACCGTGCTGCCAACGCATCCCCCTCTCCCTGTGCCTGCACCTGGACCGTGCTGCCAACGCATCCCCCTCTCCCTGTGCCTGCACCTGGACCGTGCTGCCAACGCATCCCCCTCTCCCTGTGCCTGCACCTGGACCGTGCTGCCAACGCATCCCCCTCTCCCTGTGCCTGCACCTGGACCGTGCTGCCAACGCATCCCCCTCTCCCTGTGCCTGCACCTGGACCGTGCTGCCAACGCATCCCCCTCTCCCTGTGTCTGCACCTGGACCGTGCTGCCAACGCAACCCCCTCTCCCTGTGCCTGCACCTGGACCGTGCTGCCAACGCATCCCCCTCTCCCTGTGCCTGCACCTGGACCGTGCTGCCAACGCATCCCCCTCTCCCTGTGTCTGCACCTGGACCGTGCTGCCAACGCAACCCCCTCTCCCTGTGCCTGCACCTGGACCGTGCTGCCAACGCATCCCCCTCTCCCTGTGCCTGCACCTGGACCGTGCTGCCAACGCATCCCCCTCTCCCTGTGTCTGCACCTGGACCGTGCTGCCAACGCATCCCCCTCTCCCTGTGCCTGCACCTGGACCGTGCTGCCAACGCATCCCCCTCTCCCTGTGCCTGCACCTGGACCGTGCTGCCAACGTATCCCCCTCTCCCTGTGCCTGCACCTGGACCGTGCTGCCAACGCATCCCCCTCTCCCTGTGCCTGCACCTGGACCGTGCTGCCAACGCATCCCCCTCTCCCTGTGCCTGCACCTGGACCGTGCTGCCAACGCATCCCCCTCTCCCTGTGCCTGCACCTGGACCGTGCTGCCAACGCTTCCCCCTCTCCCTGTGCCTGCACCTGGACCGTGCTGCCAACGCATCCCCCTCTCCCTGTGCCTGCACCTGGACCGTGCTGCCAACGCATCCCCCTCTCCCTGTGCCTGCAACCTGGACCGTGCTGCCAACGCATCCCCCTCTCCCTGTGCCTGCACCTGGACCGTGCTGCCAACGCATCCCCCTCTCCCTGTGCCTGCACCTGGACCGTGCTGCCAACGCATCCCCCTCTCCCTGTGTCTGCACCTGGACCGTGCTGCCAACGCATCCCCCTCTCCCTGTGCCTGCACCTGGACCGTGCTGCCAACGCATCCCCCTCTCCCTGTGCCTGCACCTGGACCGTGCTGCCAACGCATCCCCCTCTCCCTGTGCCTGCACCTGGACCGTGCTGCCAACGCATCCCCCTCTCCCTGTGCCTGCACCTGGACCGTGCTGCCAACGCATCCCCCTCTCCCTGTGCCTGCACCTGGACCGTGCTGCCAACGCATCCCCCTCTCCCTGTGCCTGCACCTGGACCGTGCTGCCAACGCATCCCCCTCTCCCTGTGCCTGCACCTGGACCGTGCTGCCAACGCATCCCCCTCTCCCTGTGCCTGCACCTGGACCGTGCTGCCAACGCATCCCCCTCTCCCTATGTCTGCACCTGGACCGTGCTGCCAACGCATCCCCCTCTCCCTGTGCCTGCACCTGGACCGTGCTGCCAACGCATCCCCCTCTCCCTGTGCCTGCACCTGGACCGTGCTGCCAACGCATCCCCCTCTCCCTGTGCCTGCACCTGGACCGTGCTGCCAACGTATCCCCCTCTTCCTGTGCCTGCACCTGGACCGTGCTGCCAACGCATCCCCCTCTCCCTGTGCCTGCACCTGGACCGTGCTGCCAACGCATCCCCCTCTCCCTGTGCCTGCACCTGGACCGTGCTGCCAACGCATCCCCCTCTCCCTGTGCCTGCACCTGGACCGTGCTGCCAACGCATCCCCCTCTCCCTGTGCCTGCACCTGGACCGTGCTGCCAACGCATCCCCCTCTCCCTGTGTCTGCACCGGGACCGTGCTGCCAACGCATCCCCCTCTCCCTGTGCCTGCACCTGGACCGTGCTGCCAACGCATCCCCCTCTCCCTGTGCCTGCACCTGGACCGTGCTGCCAACGCATCCCCCTCTCCCTGTGCCTGCACCTGGACCGTGCTGCCAACGCATCCCCCTCTCCCTGTGCCTGCACCTGGACCGTGCTGCCAACGCATCCCCCTCTCCCTGTGCCTGCACCTGGACCGTGCTGCCAACGCATCCCCCTCTCCCTGTGCCTGCACCTGGACCGTGCTGCCAACGCATCCCCCTCTCCCTGTGCCTGCACCTGGACCGTGCTGCCAACGCATCCCCCTCTCCCTGTGCCTGCACCTGGACCGTGCTGCCAACGCATCCCCCTCTCCCTATGTCTGCACCTGGACCGTGCTGCCAACGCATCCCCCTCTCCCTGTGCCTGCACCTGGACCGTGCTGCCAACGCATCCCCCTCTCCCTGTGCCTGCACCTGGACCGTGCTGCCAACGCATCCCCCTCTCCCTGTGCCTGCACCTGGACCGTGCTGCCAACGTATCCCCCTCTTCCTGTGCCTGCACCTGGACCGTGCTGCCAACGCATCCCCCTCTCCCTGTGCCTGCACCTGGACCGTGCTGCCAACGCATCCCCCTCTCCCTGTGCCTGCACCTGGACCGTGCTGCCAACGCATCCCCCTCTCCCTGTGCCTGCACCTGGACCGTGCTGCCAACGCATCCCCCTCTCCCTGTGCCTGCACCTGGACCGTGCTGCCAACGCATCCCCCTCTCCCTGTGCCTGCACCTGGACCGTGCTGCCAACGCATCCCCCTCTCCCTGTGTCTGCACCTGGACCGTGCTGCCAACGCAACCCCCTCTCCCTGTGCCTGCACCTGGACCGTGCTGCCAACGCATCCCCCTCTCCCTGTGCCTGCACCTGGACCGTGCTGCCAACGCATCCCCCTCTCCCTGTGTCTGCACCTGGACCGTGCTGCCAACGCAACCCCCTCTCCCTGTGCCTGCACCTGGACCGTGCTGCCAACGCATCCCCCTCTCCCTGTGCCTGCACCTGGACCGTGCTGCCAACGCATCCCCCTCTCCCTGTGTCTGCACCTGGACCGTGCTGCCAACGCATCCCCCTCTCCCTGTGCCTGCACCTGGACCGTGCTGCCAACGCATCCCCCTCTCCCTGTGTCTGCTACTATGAACAGGCACGCCTGCCCGTGCCTCACGCCTGCCTGTGCCTCACGCCTGCCCTCTGCCCCTGCGCTGCCCTCTCCTTCCCCCTCGGCCCCTCGTGTCTTCCCCACACGCGGCCACGCCCCAACCACACCAGGACGTGACGTGGCAGACAGTCACAGCCTTGCAGTCATCTACACCCTCTCCTCGCAGGCGAGGCGGTGCTTTTTCACAGCTCACATTTGACGCCACTTAGATGCCCTCGTGCTCGCTCACAGCCCTGTGCGTTGTGCGTGCTCGTCTGCCCTCTCCTTCTCCCCTCGCCCCTCTTGTCTCTCCCCCAACGCCCCCACCAGGACGTGGCAGATGTGCGCAACCTCACCTTCATCTACACCCTACGCTCCAACACACCTTGCTGCCGCTCTCCGTCTTCCCCGCGCCTCTTGCGCCTCTCCCTCTCACGCCCCCACCACACCAGGACGTGGCAGATGTGCGCAACCTCGCCTTCATCTACACCCTTGCAGGCGGTACGTGCTTTGCTGTGCTGGGGTGCATGCATGGGGGATATGCACTGCCATGCTCGAGGTACAGTGGTGGAATGCTCTTGAGGTACGGTGGTGGAATGCTCTTGAGGTACGGTGGTGGAATGCTGTTGAGGTACGGTGAGATGCTGATGAGGTACGGTGGAATGCAGTTATGAGATGGGAAGTCATGATGGCAGGCAGCACAGCAGCACTGCAGCACAGCAGCACTGCTGCCCACACCCCACCCTCTGTTTCGGATGACTGGGGGAAAATGTTAACTAGGGTGGGAGCAAGCTTTGTGCGGGTTCATATCCATGCCAAGGGCCCTTACACCAGCTGGAATGAGACAAGCACTCAAGATCTAGGATGGGAAGTCATGATGCACATTCTTCCTTGTGTCATGATGCACAGTCTTCCTTGTGTCATGATGCACATTCTTCCTTGTGTCATGATGCACATTCTTCCTTGTGTCATGATGCACATTCTTCCTTGTCGCCTCCAAAGCACCACGGGTGCTTGGCATCGGCTTTGCAGCAGTGGCAGGAGTTGCTGAGAAGCGGTGGCAGCAACTCGTCTCACTCACTCACTCGCTCACCACTCACTCACTCACTCACTCACTCACTCACTCACTCACCACACTCATCTTTCTCTCGCCCCCTGTATCCCTCCCTCATCTTGCCATCGTCCTTTCACCCTCAAAACCCATCTCCCCTTCACTGGACTGCACAGACCTTGCGGCAGAGCTACCAGTGGTTGTGGCAGCACGTGTCAACCTATCCTAACATTCTCCCACATATCGCCCTCATCATCCCCTCATCCGCACCCCCACCCCGTTCTTCCCTCCAGTGGACTGCATCGACTGTACAGCGGACACAGTAGTGGTGGCGGCAGCATGTCTCAACCTATCCATCTCCCACGCACCGCGCTCATCATCCCCTTATAGGCTTATCCGCACCCCCACCCGTTCTTCCCTCCAGTGGACTGCATCGACTGTGCAGCGGACACAGCAGTGGTGGCGGCGGCAAGGGATGGCATCAGTGCCGCCACGGCGTGGGCTGCACGCACCCTCAGGGGTGGGCGCGTATATGGGGGGGCAGCGGCAGCTGCCCAGAGGGACGGGCGCGTGGGGGAAGCAGTAGGGGAGCTGAGGGGTGGGAGGGGAGGGGAGGTTCCAGGGGAGGGGCTGTGGGGCGGCAGGGCTGGAGGGGGGGATGTGGAGGGGGGCAGGCGGCCATGGGTGATGGTGAGTGTGAGCGATGGGCAGGACCCGCACTTCCGCAAAGCAGGTGGGTGCTTCAACCAGCCAGGCTTGCAAGCCAGTTGGGTTCCTTGAGTGGGCTTCAGGGCGAGGTGGGCTTGGGTGCTTTGACAAGTGCATGCCTCTCTCTGCAGCTGTACCTATGTAGCTAAGACCGAGCACAATAGGTTGTCCTTGGCGCAATTCTCGCTTCATGCCTCACTTCACTCCACCTCACCAAACCACATTGTGCCTCTGCATTCCCTTTCTTACACCACCTCTGCATTCCCTTGTTGCACGCTTATGTCACATCTTGTTGCACGTGTAACCTTTCCCCTCCTCTCTCTCCAAACCATCCATTGATCTCTCCGTCACTCCCCCTCCCCCCCTCCGTTACCTCCTTCCACTGCCCCCACCACACCAGTATTCGACGCCTCTCTCTGTCCGACCACCTGCCCTCGGCCCTGTGAGCGAGTCTGCCCCGCCGCTGCTATCCGCTTCCTACCCGCTGCCGCAGATGCTGGCCTCACTGCTGCACAGGCCAGCATGGCCGGAAGCAGCAGCAGCAGCAGCAGCAGCAGCAGCAGCAGCAGCGATGGGTTGATAGCAGAGCGGTGCTATGGCTGTGGCCGATGCATCCCTGTATGCCCCCTGGGTCTCATCTGTACGTCTGTCCTTGCTTATCCCATAACCTTTTACTGCAATGGGTGGCACGCTGCATTTACCTGTGCCAGCCGTACGGCACTTTGAATCACATCACAGTTGCCCCAGTTGCGCCCGTATACCCCTTCCCGCTCAGCCCATGGTGTCTTCCCTCGCCGCCACTCATACACTCTCAAAACCGTCTCTCTTTACCTCTCTGCCCTGGCATACATCCCACACCTCTTGAGGTGTCTTTACGTCAAGGATTGCCTTGTCCTTCTCTCTGCCTTGTCCTTCTCTCTGCCTTGTCCTTCTCTCTGCCTTGTCCTTCTCTCTGCCTTGTCCTTCTCTCTGCCTTGTCCTTCTCTCTGCCTTGTCCTTCTCTCTGCCTTGTCCTTCTCTCTGCCTTGTCCTTCTCTCTGCCTTGTCCTTCTCTCTGCCTTGTCCTTCTCTCTGCCTTGTCCTTCTCTCTGCCTTGTCCTTCTCTCTGCCTTGTCCTTCTCTCTGCCTTGTCCTTCTCTCTGCCTTGTCCTTCTCTCTGCCTTGTCCTTCTCTCTGCCTTGTCCTTCTCTCTGCCTTGTCCTTCTCTCTGCCTTGTCCTTCTCTCTGCCTTGTCCTTCTCTCTGCCTTGTCCTTCTCTCTGCCTTGTCCTTCTCTCTGCCTTGTCCTTCTCTCTGCCTTGTCCTTCTCTCTGCCTTGTCCTTCTCTCTGCCTTGTCCTTCTCTCTGCCTTGTCCTTCTCTCTGCCTTGTCCTTCTCTCTGCCTTGTCCTTCTCTCTGCCTTGTCCTTCTCTCTGCCTTGTCCTTGTCTTCCTCCGCTCTTCTCTCTGCCTCCTCCCCTCTGTCTTCCTCCGCTCTTCTCTCTGCCTCCTCCCCTCTGTCTTCCTCCGCCCTTCTCTCTGCCTCCTCCCCTCTGTCTTCCTCCGCCCTTCTCTCTGCCTCCTCCCCTCTGTCTTCCTCCGCCCTTCTCTCTGCCTCCTCCCTTCTGTCTTCCTCCGCCCTTCTCTCTGCCTCCTCCCCTCTGTCTTCCTCCGCCCTTCTCTCTGCCTCCTCCGTTCTCTCTGCCTGTTCATGTGCGTGTCTTTCTCTTTCTCCCCCTCCACCCTCTCCCTCTCGCCCCCATCAGTGGCGGAGGAGCACCAGCGAACAGAGGAGGACGCGTTGAACCTCCTGAGAAGCGGGCTTGTTGATGCCATCGAAATACACACGCTGCCAGGGTAAATCACCCCTTGTGATTCACTACCCTGTCAAATACGAACAGCTGCCACCTGTTACCCATTTTAATATTTGCGCAAGTTTGCACGTTCTTTCCACTAATTGATTTTCTGCATAGAGCTGTATCCCAATGCGCTTCTCTCCACGTCATCCATCCAATCACGTGCAGCCACCTGGACGAGTTCAACGCCTTGTGGGCATCCATCGGTGAAGCAGCAGGGGCCCTCAAGCTTGTTGCTGTGAGTAGTTGACCCACTTTCCAGCTCTGATTTTGTTTGAAAAGTATTCAAGACCTTCCCCACTATTCCTGTATCCTGCCTCTCTTCTCTCGCTCCCTCTCATCGTTTCCTCGTTCTTTCGTTTCTCCTCCTCCACCCCATGTCCATACAGTTGACTCGGCCAGACCTAGTATACACCCCATGCAATTTACCACACACCACACCACACCACACCACACCACACCACACCACACCACACCACACCACACCACACCAGACCACACCACGCCTTCCTCTTTATGTCCCTCCCATCTTTTCCTTCCACCTTCCCTCGTTCCTGCGTCTCCCACCCCCACCCCTCTCCCCATGTGCATGCAGGTGAGTCTGCCAGACCTGGGGGACAGCATGCCAGTTGCCATGCATGCCATGCACCGCACCATGCTGCCACACCTCTCTGCTGCCAACCTCTGGCAGGTGAGGCCAGAGTCAGATCAAGAGGCACTGTGCAGCACCGCACCGCACACCATGCACCACACCATTCACCGCACCATGCTGCCGCACCTCTTTGCCGCCAACCTCTGGCACGTACTGTGTAGTGGCACTCTATGCTTCGACTTTTGAGGCGCCTGAAATGCACGCCATGCACGCCATGCACAGCACCACACGCGCACACCTCACTGCTGCAACCCTCTGGCAGGTAGCGTCTGGCATTGTATGCCTCATAATATGCCATGCACGCCATGCACAGCACCATGCGTGCACACATTTCAGCCCCCTTGTTCAGCTCTTGCTGTTCCCTTTTAAACCCCCAAGCCCTACTCAACCCTCAAGCCTTTCGTGGGCCCCCCATTTCCTATTTCTCTCCCCCCCCTGCCCTTCCCATCTTCCCCTTCCGCCATCACCTTTCCTCTCCATCCCCCCCCCCCTAGTTGGACGGTCGCCCCATGAGTGGGGACATAGGCGCCGGGGCGACACGTGCTGCAATCCGATTGGCTGCCCGAGTGGCTGCATTCCACGACGGACCGCCAGGTGACGTGGCCGCCAGGAGGGGGGATGGGGGGAGGATGACCATGGCACGTGGCATCTGATTCGGCGAAAGAGGGACATGCATCACACGTGGCATGTAACGGCATAGCTGGGCATGGCATGGCATGTGATGGCATGAGACTGTTGATTCTTAGGAACTAGGCAAGTCCTTTTTTCATTCTGCCTCTCTCACCTCCCATCCCTCTTTCCTCTCTCACGCCTGTTGTTCTCCTCGTTTCATTCAGTTTCTTTTCTCTCCTCATTGCACTTGGTCTCCTCTCTCCACCTCCGTGTGACCAGGGTATTTGCAAATAGCAGGCGGCACCAACAGTCACACTTTCACCGCGTTAAAACAACAAGGGCTGCTGCCTGCTTCTGCGTCTGGTGAGTGTCACCCCACGCTGCTGCTGTTGTTGCTCCATTACAACCAATGCTGCCACATCCCCACTTTGAGTCGACTTGCAAGAGTCACCTTGTAATGCTAGTTGCAACATCAAAGGCCGTTGTTGCCCCTTCAAAGGCCTCCGCAATCTGCAAGTCCTAACTGGTCCTAACTGCAATTTGAGTCGTCACAATCCGCAATCTGCAAGTCCTAACTGGTCCTAACTGGTCTAGTGAGTCGATTTTTGAGTCGTCACAATCCGCAATCTGCAAGTCCTAACTGGTCCTAACTGGTCTAGTGAGTCGATTTTTGAGTCGTCACAATCCGCAATCTGCAAGTCCTCACATATTTTCGCATTGCAAGCTGCCATTTCTTCCCTTGTACCTCACGCTTCATTGGGTGCCATTTCTTCCCTTGTAGCTCACGCTTCATTGGGTGCCATTTCTTCCCTTGTACCTCACGCTTCATTGGGTGCCATTTCTTCCCTTGTACCTCACGCTTCATTGGGTGCCATTTCTTCCCTTGTACCTCACGCTTCATTGGGTGCCATTTCTTCCCTTGTAGCTCACGCTTCATTGGGTGCCATTTCTTCCCTTGTAGCTCACGCTTCATTGGGTGCCATTTCTTCCCTTGTAGCTCACGCTTCATTGGGTGCCATTTCTTCCCTTGTACCTCACGCTTCATTGGGTGCCATTTCTTCCCTTGTACCTCACGCTTCATTTGGTGCCATTTCTTCCCTTGTACCTCACGCTTCATTGGGTGCCATTTCTTCCCTTGTACCTCACGCTTCATTGGGTGCCATTTCTTCCCTTGTACCTCACGCTTCATTGGGTGCCATTTCTTCCCTTGTACCTCACGCTTCATTGGGTGCCATTTCTTCCCTTGTACCTCACGCTTCATTGGGTGCCATTTCTTCCCTTGTACCTCACGCTTCATTGGGTGCCATTTCTTCCCTTGTACCTCACGCTTCATTGGGTGCCATTTCTTCCCTTGTACCTCACGCTTCATTGGGTGCCATTTCTTCCCTTGTACCTCACGCTTCATTGGGTGCCATTTCTTCCCTTGTACCTCACGCTTCATTGGGTGCCATTTCTTCCCTTGTACCTCACGCTTCATTGGGTGCCATTTCTTCCCTTGTACCTCACGCTTCATTGGGTGCCATTTCTTCCCTTGTACCTCACGCTTCATTGGGTGCCATTTCTTCCCTTGTACCTCACGCTTCATTGGGTGCCATTTCTTCCCTTGTACCTCACGCTTCATTGGGTGCCATTTCTTCCCTTGTACCTCACGCTTCATTGGGTGCCATTTCTTCCCTTGTACCTCACGCTTCATTGGGTGCCATTTCTTCCCTTGTAGCTCACGCTTCATTGGGTGCCATTTCTTCCCTTGTACCTCACGCTTCATTGGGTGCCATTTCTTCCCTTGTACCTCACGCTTCATTGGGTGCCATTTCTTCCCTTGTACCTCACGCTTCATTGGGTGCCATTTCTTCCCTTGTAGCTCACGCTTCATTGGGTGCCATTTCTTCCCTTGTAGCTCACGCTTCATTGGGTGCCATTTCTTCCCTTGTACCTCACGCTTCATTGGGTGCCATTTCTTCCCTTGTAGCTCACGCTTCATTGGGTGCCATTTCTTCCCTTGTAGCTCACGCTTCATTGGGTGCCATTTCTTCCCTTGTAGCTCACGCTTCATTGGGTGCCATTTCTTCCCTTGTAGCTCACGCTTCATTGGGTGCCATTTCTTCCCTTGTAGCTCACGCTTCATTGGGTGCCATTTCTTCCCTTGTAGCTCACGCTTCATTGGGTGCCATTTCTTCCCTTGTACCTCACGCTTCATTGGGTGCCATTTCTTCCCTTGTACCTCACGCTTCATTGGGTGCCATTTCTTCCCTTGTAGCTCACGCTTCATTGGGTGCCATTTCTTCCCTTGTACCTCACGCTTCATTGGGTGCCATTTCTTCCCTTGTAGCTCACGCTTCATTGGGTGCCATTTCTTCCCTTGTAGCTCACGCTTCATTGGGTGCCATTTCTTCCCTTGTAGCTCACGCTTCATTGGGTGCCATTTCTTCCCTTGTAGCTCACGCTTCATTGGGTGCCATTTCTTCCCTTGTAGCTCACGCTTCATTGGGTGCCACCAGTAATCTCTGATCGCCGTTCACTCCGCACTTACGGTATCTTTCACCACTCCAACATTTTGAGAATATTTCAAAGTCGATCCATTTTAGTGAAAAATCTCAGCATGTCACTCGAAGTGCAAGTGCACTGGATAAATGGATTCTTACAATGGTGACTCGAACGCACATGCCCATGTGCTCACCCATCCCCCTGCCACTCAGATCATGGGCGCACAGTTGCAGGCGTGGCGTTTGGCGGGCATGCACGCAAGGTACGTGCTGTCATGGGAGAGGCAGTTGCAACAAGGCCCTGCTTCCTCATTCTTTGTTGCTTCCTCATTCTTTGCTGCTTCCTGATTCTTTGCTGCTTCCTGATTCTTTGCTGCTTCCTCTTTCCTTGGTTTTGCACTCTTGTTTCGAACCCGAGCTTGCAGATTCCTCTCTCAGAACCCCTTTTGCATCATTCTCACAGAGAGGAGCATTTCACACTCTCCTCTCATGTCAGATCCTGGCGCCAGTCCTTACCCGTCTTGAAGCCACCGGATCAAGCAGGGCACACGAGGCTGGTGCAACTACTACCCCCCCAAACGCCACATCAGTGTGTCCATTGCACGTTGAGAGCCACCCGCCTCTTCTGCTGGAGGCACTGGAGCTCGCATGTGCCTTGGTTCATCCCTACAAGCTCCACACTCCAATGTAGCACTTCTTGTTTCAAGGGGGGGGGCTGGCTCGCAGTAATACCGGTACTGGCCAGCAAGCTAGCACGACCGGCCGTGACCATTTCAGGGGCATATGAGTGGGCGTCAGTCAACGCCACCCACCAGTAAAATACGCCTGGGGAGCGAAATTGGAGGCTGTATCCTGGAACATTCAGCCGCTTTGGTGATTTACCTCGCCTCAGTAGCTTCACTTCACATGCACTAGTGATTGGTTGTACTTCACTCAGTCATACGGTAAAAGTGTACAGTCCTCTGTTCACCAGACATTCTTTCCAATACCGGAATTCTTCAAGCTAGAACAAGATGTGGATGCAAGAAATGAGGCAGAGTGGCTTGAGCTCATCAACCCAACAGCTTCCACCCTCTTGTATATCCTTGCAACATATTCTTCTTGGTCTTGTAGTTTTTTCCCACAAGCACATTCTCTTTCTAAAAAATCACCCAGCAGTACCGTATCACCCCGGATAAAAGCGCAGGCCTATTAAAAGCGCATGCGCTTATGCCCGATCCTCAATTATAAGCGCACCCCCTTAAAAAACATGATTTATTATAAGCGCATGTTAGTTTTCAAATTGAAAAGCTGTCAAATTACTGTAACGAAGTTCACTTTAAAGGGGCGATGAGTTGAAAATCAGATTTCCTTCGCGTTCAAACCCTGCACAGGCTGCGCGTCCAGTCAGCAAGTGCTGTCAGAAGCTCCTAGTGACTCATTTTGAGTGTAGGTGCTGGCAGGGAATCTTTCCCTGCCAAGTAGTGAGAGTTTTTCACCCACAACCCTGTTTCAAATCGACTCGATTGGGTGCGCAATGACGTGAACTACATTTTCGTGCTAGTAGTTTAAAATTGTATATTTGTTATTTTATAAGCGCATGCGCTTATATTTTTAACTCAATTATAAGCGCACCCCCCTGAAAATTCATGTTTTATTATAAGCGCAGGTGCGCTTATATCCGGGGTGATACGGTAAGAGTTTGTTTTTGCTCGGGGTCAATAATGGCCTCCCAGCCACAAACGGAGGACTACCGTGCTGCAAATAAAGGCAGAAGCCACCATATTCCTTACCACACACGGGGATACGGTAATGGTGAGCCGAGCCATAGAAGCGCCTCAACAGCTGGTTACCATATGTTGGGCTGATAAAAGCCCTTAGGATCTTTCCAAAGCTAAGACCCTCAGTAGGAATGTTGTGATTGCGGAAGCGTTCTTAGTAATATTGTTAAACCAACTTGCACTAGTGTGTGAGAGCAAGAGATTAATTATATCAAGGTAATACAAAGGCTTTTATAAGATAACAAGGAATACAAAAAGGTGCAACTAACTGTTTTGCTGTTGCGGTTCGAAACAGTGACGACTCGGGCAACTGCTCAATACCGAGTCACTTGTTTGTCCTTGCTGTCGCGCTGTATTTCGTCGAGTCAAAGGTCGCTGACCTTTGACCTTCGCGTAACCTCCAGCTGTTACTTTCTGTCAACCTCCTCAGTTGACTCGCCGTTGCTCCGCTGTGATTCGCCTCGTTTGTAGTTTATTGTTTCGACACAAAAGGAGCGTTAAATTGCTTGTTTCCAACACTCCCCTTCGCTTCTGGAGTGTCGCTGCTGATGACGTGGCCTTTGTCCAGTCAGCAGCTTGCAATACTCGAACTTCTGCTTTCCGAGTTTCTTGGTTAAGTAATCGGCTGCCATCTCGGATGTGGGACATTAGGATAGCGCAAGTCTCCCCTTCTCGATTTCGTCTTTTACGAAGAAGTACCGGAGGGCGATATGCTTCGTTCGATTCGCGAACCCGTTCTTGTTCGCTATGCGAATGGCCGATTGGTTGTCGCAGAACAGGGAGGAGCTGGGTAACTTAGTCAGCTTCGCTTCTTCCAGTAGTTCGCGAAGGTACAATCCTTCCTTGGTGGCTGAGCATGTCAGAATAATATATAATTCTATATATTGTTCTATAATTGCCTGTAGTGTAGAATACTGTAGTCATATAACTTTCTGTTTGGTGGTGCACCTTTCTTCATTCTTGCCTATTTGTACTGCTCGCTCTATAGTGAACTCACCATTTTGCTCTTTTCTGCTCCCCCTACTCTCTCGACACTCAAGCTAGTACCTTGGACCCTAGCCATGGTTCCCAACTGCAACTAGCTACTTTCGACAGAGCAGAGTGCGATATAATTTGCTTCAGCTGAGGAGAGAGCAATTAGCTCTTGCTTGCTCGACTGCCACGAGATAGGGCCGATAGGTTCGAGTCGGTAGATGTAGCCGGTGCACGATCGCCTGTTGTCTGAGTCGCCGGCATGGTCAGCATCCACATATCCGATTAGCTTGGGCGTCGTAGTTCCGGTCTTGTGGTAGGTTAGGCCGATCGTCGGGGTGCTGACGAGGTAGTGAAGAGCACGGTCGAGCTCCGCCATGTGATCTGCTTCAGGCTTCTTGAGATGGGTGGCGAGTTGACTAGCTGAGTAAGATAGGTCCGGTCGGCAGGTGATGGCTGCGAAGAGTAGACAGCCTAGCTTTCGTTGGTAGTTGCGAATGCCGACGGGTTTGAGTAGGGCGGAGTCTTCCTTGCGATCTCCGTCGTTGTAACGATATGGCGTGGTGATGGTAGCCGGAGTTAGTCCGAAGCGTTTGGCGATGGTGTCGGCGTATTTTGCGGCGCTGAGGTAGATTGCGTTTTCCCCGTCTTGTATGTTGAGTCCCAGGTACTGTGTCACGGTAGACGAGATGGTGAGTGTGAGGTCCCGCTGTAGTTCCCCTTCAAACCAAGTTGTTATGCCGTCAGTGGAGCCTATGTAGAGCAGGTCGTCTACGTAGGCGATGAGCAGGATATAGTCGGTCCCTTTAGTGAGTCGGTACATTCCTTATTCATTCAATAGTTGGCAGAATCCGATGCGGATTAGTCGGGCGTGAAGGTACCGCTGCCACTGTCTCGGGGCTTGCTTGATGCCGTATAGTGATTTTTGCAGCTGACAGACTTGATTGGGGTCTGCATTAGATCCGTGTGGTTGTTTAATCTCAGCGTCGACGGGAGCATACAGAAAGGCGTTGGCGACGTCGATTTGTCGGAGCTTCTTCCGCTTCATGGCGGCTATCGCGAGGAGAATCCGCAGTGAGGTGTGTCGGCTAACTGGCGCGAAGGTTTCGGTGAAGTCTCGTCCGTGCTCTTGATCGAAGCCGCGTACGACCCAGCGCGCCTTAAACTTATCGATCGTTCCGTCAGCTTTTGTCTTCACGCGGAAGACCCATTTTCCCGTGAAAACAATTTTGTTGCGTGCCACTCTAATAGGCATCATTTTCCATGTGTTTCTGTCTTCTAACGCCTTCAGTTCCCTGTCCATGGCTTCGCGCCATTTTTCCTTGTGCTTCCCCCCCAGAGCCTGCTGAACCGTGGCAGGCTCCTTTGGTGGCGCTGCTCCGTGGATGGCGGTGACGAGTCCCAGTATCTGCAGCCCACTCTGTGTGTAGCGGAGGAGATTTGTGTCCTCGGGATAAGCTGCTTCATCTCTCACTTTTGGATCAAGTAAGAAGTTGGGCCCTATACGTTCGGAGACGTTGGTGTCGACCGGTTGGGGTGTAACGTAACCGTTGTCGGCGAAGCGTAGTAGACTTCGGCGTTGATACTTTCGCGAGGGTTGTCGTCATCCATGAGAATGCCCACTGAGCAGTACGGAAGAGGTCCGGCTTCCTCCGAAGCTCCGTCCACATTCTGTGTCAGGAAACTAAAGGAATGAGTTGAAACAGAGAAGAGGTTTCACTAGCAGGCAGTTGAGTACATATAGCAAACCCTAAATTGGGATGTACTCGCTATAGAGTACCCCACTGCAGGCTAGACAAATATAACATTCTGACACACCCCCATAGCCAAAGTGTGGTGTAATCAGCACAATAAGCAAGCAACGCAATAGTTCACAATAATAAGCAAAGCTAGAAGCTATCACAGAGGGCAAGTGAGGAAGAGGGACTATGAGAGGAGAGGAGGTAGTGGGCGGCAGCTGAAGCTGCTGGCACACGGCGCAACTGGAGCAACTGGCACACGGGCAACTGGCACACTGGCTACTGGAGTAACTGGCTCTGCGGCTAACTCTGAGCGGCAGGAACAACGGACCCACGGGCGACTGGAGCAACGGGCTCACGGGCAACTGGAGCAACAGGCTCACGGGTGACTGGCGCAACGGTCTCACGGGCGACTGGAGCTGCTGGCTTCACGGCGGCCACCCCCCTTCAACCTCCCCAAACTGTCCCACCCCCCTTTCACATACCCTCTGCTGCACCCCTAGCTTCACTCCCACGACACCCCCCTAGCACCACTCCTTCGGCTCCCACACATCCACCCCCCTCAGCGGCAGCTGCAGCAGTGGGAGACAGAGGAGGAGGAGGAGCAAGGGACAACTCACACACCCGCCACCCCCATACCCGCCACCCCGCAGTTGCACGTGGACAGGAGGCGGCACGGGCGGCTTCAGGGGCGGCTCGCGGGCTGCAGGAGGGGCAGCGCGCGGGCCCCCCGAGGGCGCCTGGACGGGCGACAGGAGTGGGGGCCGCGCGGGCCCCCAAGGGCGCCACGAC